TATGAAATTTAACAGCCATCTCTCACGCTTTATCATACATATTCACACAACCAGGTACACCTCAACAGGACAAGAGAGGGACTGCAGCCTGCCAAGGTAGGCAAACAGTACCGCCCGCTTCCAGTGCCCATTAGCTGCCCCCATCACTCTGTGTTGAATGGAACTGCCCTTGAAGACCATTTGCACTTTTCTTGCTCTACTTCTGTTCTAACTGAAGTTCTGGCAACTGAGGACTGCAGCAACTTGACACCAAAAAGAGGTCCGGTGACAGGTATGGGCAATCCAAGAGCTCAGGTTCTTTTTCCAAGGGCTTAAAGAAATTCTGTTGAATATCAACAGCTATATTGATCAGGTCCCCTTGGAGCCACACGATGAAACCACTAGAAGGGCTCTTTTCCAGTCATTCTCTCCCCCTGCCTCCTTGCCACGAGGTAAAGCTTTCTCCTTACGAAATAAAGCCCTATCTCACGGAGCACTGGCATGCATCTTATCCAGGCAGTCGGTCCAGAAGAGCACGAGCCGGCCGTCTTTGTTCCAGCAGAAGTCTGTGAAGTCTTTCAGCAGCCGATCAGCAAACTTCTCGTCCCCGGTGGCGCTGGACCGCCACGTTTTTGTCAGCATGGTGTTGTAGGCCCAGTTGTAGCCAATGCGCTCTTCACAGAACATGTTCTGGTTGGTGGAGCTGGTGGAGTTGCGCCGGCGTCGCTGCTGCCCACAAGAAAATTTCCTCTTGGAATATGGCAGCTGCAAAAACACTGTCCCTAAGGGAAACAGACAGGACTTCAGCTGCAGGCAGACCTAAGTCCCTATAACCATTAGCTGACTTACTGAGTTTCTGTTAATTGCCTTTTAGCAAGGTAAAACAGAATATACTTTTCCTTCTTTGCTTTCACACAGTCTTTCTTCCTGCACTGAGAAAGAGCACTTAGTCTTGCCTTTCTCTTGGTAGAAGGGAACGAAGCAGAAGTGTAGGCCCTGATCCATCTTTCTAACCCTACATGAATTCCTGCTGTCTTCTGCAGTCTTCCTAAAGCTCTTCTCCCGTCACTGCCTTCACATTTCAGCAGCCCTCTTGAACAGGTTATTTCATTGCAATACACCATTAGCTTAGACAAAGGAGCTGACAGGATCACTTTGTAAATGTTAGTTCTAAATACTCAATCTATCTCCCACACAGTGCATACAGGTAGAGAAACATCTACAACTGACCTTAAGCCTGAGAGCACAGCAATGACTTCTCCCAGTTCCTTTCCCTTCTAGCTGCTATGTACACATTTGTTTATTCTGCTCTTGGAATAAGCTCTGCCTTATTTCTTATTATTTCTCCATCTCCTGGAAATAAAAAGTTTCAGAGACACTATAAAGTGAGATTTCAAGCCAGGGCCATTCATTAGCTGCAACACTTTGTGCTTCTCATACCATCTTGTCAGTTTTCTGGTTTGTGCTGGCTGATGCAGCTGCTTGCCATCTAACTAGGGACACAATGAGGACAGACATCACTGGCAAAAAACACAAAGTGCATGGCAAATGGTTCTTCTGTTTATGATAGCCTCCTCCTTGCCTCCAGCGCCTGCCAAGTATTGCTCACCTGTGACATGGATATACTGAGGCTTGTTCTCAGCTGGAAAGTTGAATGCAGAAGCCGAGTATTTATCCTGCACAAATCCAAATCTGGAGAAACAAACACCAGAGAAATAAAAAAAACTAAAGAGCCACACCAGCTATAATTCTGTCAGCCCAAGGCAGGGGCACAAAGGAAAACCCTCCATTATCACAAAGGCTTCTTTTTCTGTGGTCTGAAGGGGGAAAGGGACAGAGAGTTGAGTTGCTCCAAATGTCCTCTGCTCTTGCTAGGTACAGTGTGAAAAACTGCAATGCCACACACTGATCTTTGTCATAGCCCCCACGGAAACAAGGGCCTGTAGAGCAGTTCAGGAGGGCATGGAGCAGTATCTGACTAAATGAAGTAGTTACTAACAAAGGAGGGAAGAGCAATAGTCAAGAAAAACAGTCAAGCTGTAACTTCGTGACTTTGTTCGTGCTGGGTAACATTTCACATGCAACTCAGTGCAGCTCACCTTCTTTCTGTGCTAATGAAAGCATATTTCCAAGATCAAGTCCATTCCAAAAGGCAGTCACTCTACCACGAAAAAAGGCCCTGCCAGCAGCACTGTGAAACAAGCTGGCAGTTCAAGCACACAGAAGTATAGAAAGTTTACAGCAATTCCTTCTTAAGTGGGCCCAACCTCCTGTGTACAGTTCATATCCCACACCTTTGCTTTTTCTTAATTGTTGCCTGCCATCCAGATCAACACTATGTTAAGCACACACAAAGGAAACAACTGTCCCTACTCAGAGAAATGTATTTGCAGCTTGTCTTCTTCAAGTTTAGTGCAACAGAACCTTCCAAAGCCAATGCCCTCCCACATCAAGAGCATGGCCTGCCAGTGACAGGATGAAACACTGCCTACCTGCCCCTGCGCCCACAGGGGCACTTCCAGACATTCTAGTTACGTTTTGATCTCAAAACTGGCAAGCAGACTGCAGAGGGCCAGACTGCATGGAACTCAAGTCACACAGGGGTGGCTGTTCAGTGTAGGTCTTCATCCTCCATTCTCCAAAGAGGTGTGAACGTTTCAGTCATTCTGCTCTGTACATACCTGTATGCTATTGCTTCCTGCAGGAGATGCATACGGTCCCAGTATGTTTCTGGTTCAAAGCCTGAAGCAAACAAAAAGGTTATCTAGTAAAGACACTTCTTTTCCTTCTCTTTAAAAACTTTAGCTCTCCTCAGAACACCTCTGTGCATTTTAGTTTTTCTAGCAACTTCTTTTAATCCCACTGTTTTCTGACAACTGATCCCCGGAATGCCAGCTTATCAGAGGTATTGCTTGCATATATCAGCAGCAGATTCATCCCTGAATTTAGCTTTTGTATCTCCAGAGATGAAGGAAAGGATCACAATGGGGTGCGTGGGAGGGGACAAGGAGGAGCGTGGGCTGAAGATGCAGCACACCACACAGTGCACTGAGAACAGTTCAAAGTCAGAGAGGCTGCAGTGACATCACAGCAGATGGAATTGTCACTGACTGTTCCACATTTAAACCTGGACACCGGGTTATAAAGAATTAATGAAAATAAATAAAACATGCACTATTATTATTTTAAACAGAGCCTTTTACTGATTGCACCCTCTCACAATGCAATGTTGCCTCACTGTATGGGGACAGAGCTCGCTGATCTTTGAGCTCCCACCTGAGGCTTACCACAACAGCATCACACAGAAGGGTGACGTCACATTGCAGAAAAGGAGATTGCAGTTTCTAGCTCCTAATCTCATGTGCAAACACTCTTACCACGAATGTAACCATGGCAACAATAAAGAGGGTTGTGAAAGCCTAATCTCACAGAGAAGGATAAACAAATGCAGTATACAAATTCAGAGCAGCTCTGGGCAGGTGCGTAACATCACATCAAACACAGCAACTACTTGATATAGGCTTTGTGAGGGTATGCAACATCATGGCACAGATCACCAGAGAGGCAACCCCTCCTGTGCCTGGGAGCTTCCTGCTGCCAGCTGCACATACTGTTGTGCTCAACAGGCTGCCAGCACCATTTCCTCTGAGCACGACTTTCCTGAGAGCAGCTGCTGAAACCCCAAACCAGGCCCTTCCTCCAGCTAACATGGTTTGGTTAACGAGGTTCTTCTTGTCAGCTGTCTGCCAGGAAGGACCTACTTGCAGGAAAAAACATCAAGGGTAGCACAAAGGAACGAACGTCTCTTACCATCAAACAAGTGCTCACTACCCTCCTTCAGCAAGCAGCTAACATTGAGTGGGATGAACAGCTGAGCTCGAAGTGGGTCTCCATACAAGTAGCTGGGCAGAGCAAAGGGGCCTTCCAGGACTGGAACCAGAAGGAATCCACAGGATGTGGCTTTCCGATGCCAACCCTGAACCTGTGGAAAGGATTGAAACAGTGACTCACACAACACATGTGGTGGGGCACCAAGGTGCACAGGAGCAACTAATTCCCCAAGAATAGATCAGACAGCTCAATTCTCCACTGGCACAGCTCGCTTTGCATGGCAGACACACAAGTGTCCTTGTAAAAGCAGTACAAGCACAAGGCTTTCCTTTTTTAAGTGCCACATCAATCAGAAAGCACTTTAAAATAGGACATTTTTCAGGAACTGATTCAGCCTACTTATCATCAGTGGCTAAGCACTGCTGCTTTACTGGAACAGTGCAATAGATTTTAAATTAAAGCAAAAACTCAGCCATTGTTTGGCTGAGTTGGGTGAAACCTGGTACTAATAGTTTGAGTTTTAAAGAAGATAAAAGAGAAAAAAAATCTAAACATTAAAAAAAAAAAAGAGAGAAATACTGCTTGCATTTGCAATTTGAAATGTTCCCAGGAAGTTTTAAAAACTGAAATGCACTGCTGAACAGGAAGATTCCACTGCTCAGAAAAGCCTTGTCCTGAAAGGAATCCCACTCAATTTTAATTTATTGTTATTTTTCTTTTTAGGCTTGGGTCAAGAAGGAACACAACGCAAAACAGATTCCCTTCCAAAGACTCTGTTCAAGGTCTAAGGTTTGCTCAGGTGGGACTTAAATAGCACCTCCACCCTGCACTGACCTCTGCACAGCACGAATGGAGCCCTCTAAAAGCAGAGCTGTCCTGCAGACATAATGACTATGGATTGCATGATAAACACTGACCAGATGCAGCAATGCTAATGACCATCAGCAAAATTACCTGGAAATGGAAAAGGCAGCAGATCCAACTCCTCATGTCTCCCCTAATGCTTTCCACCAGCTTCACATGACAGACATGTTCCTCAGCAGTATGAGGGATACAAAGGCCAGAAGGGCACTGCTGTGACTACCTTGCACACAGGGACTGACTCTTACCATCTCAAAAAGAACAGCTGCAGTCACTGCCATCCAGTGTAACTTGATTTCAAAGGCAGCATTCAAGGAGAAATTGCCATGATAGTAACAACTGCACCACTCCAGCCGGTCCGTGCGGTTATTCACATCCACATCAAGTGTCACCGTCCGTTGCTCAGGCACTGTAGCAGCTACACAGCCAAGGAACAGGGGTACATTTAAAAGATGTACTCAAGAGAAGGAGGGAAGTTGGGTAAAAGAAAAACAAAACAAGACAAGCTACTCGAAATGAATTTGTCCTCCCACTCCTCCCCAAATGTTTTTGAGTTGCAGAATGGTCCCAGAATGCTGCCTATGTAGATCAAAAAAGGCAAAAATAAAATAAAAGTATTGCTCAAATGGGGAGGGGGGCTATGTCATAGAATTATCTTCCCAAGAAATGAACAGGCACTTAAGTTGCAATGAAGATACAGAACCAAGAGTCAAGAAGGTCATCAACTGGTGGCATCAGAGCAAACAGCGAGGCAGCCCCATCTCCTTCACAGCCAGTTTGGTTTTAGTACCTCTATGTGACCCCATGAGAAATCACATGGTGCTGCTGCACAGGGCAGGAGCATTCCAGGACTTCCTAGAGCCAAGGGAGATTAGAAATTGAACTCTGTGTATCTTTAGCCCCATATCAATATCCCACATTACCACGTGGCTATATACATATATAACTGCACATACAGTGCTTTTTGTAAAAGCAAGAAAAGTCAGCCAAGACACATGCAGCAGTGTTAGCATCACTGCAATACTCCGTGCTGCCTTGCAGTAAGTGCTGGAACAGTGCCCAAGATGCATCTCCTCCTGTGCCCTACAGCCCAGCATCCCAGTGAAAGAAAATCCCAGGTATCAAGTAAAAGAGAAACGGAAGCAAAGGAAGTGGAGTAGACCTGTGTGGTGTCACAAGGGGACTGCGAGGTCAGGGACAGAAATCAGATCACCTGAGCTTCAGTCTGAAGTTCTGCTATGAACCACTGCTGTCACTTCCAACTTTTCTTTGTACAAGAGAATCATTTCACATTTCCATAAAGTTAAATACTGACAGAAACGAAGGGCTGCAAAACCACTGTTGAAAAACTTGTGGTGGCTTTTTTTTCTTTTTCCTTTCAGATTGATGCACAAGGGATGCATACTGCTATTTCTTGCTTAAGTAGAGGCTCACATGCACTCTTTTATGAGGTCAACTTTTAAACAACCTCATCATTTAATGACTTAATGGCACTAAAAAATGGTTGAAGTTGGTCCTGAAGTAGATGGGACAGTTCCCACCTCCACTTCTACTCTAAGTTGGCAGGACACGATTTTCAAGGTTAAAAGCCAATATTTTATATTGCCATTACTGCAGCTTAGGAACAGATAAAAATAAAGGAAAAATGGAAGAACACCATCCAGCTTTGTTTTGTAAATAAAATCTATGTTTGTCTGCTATAGTCAAACAGAGCAACATCTTGGATTCCCATTTTCTTGCTCCTTTTCAGTGGATTATCAACGTGCATTACAAGATTACAGTGTCAGTTTTGTAATGAAGTATGAATCCCATTCTGAGATGGTGGAAAGCAAATCCCAAAAGTGAAAGCAGCTTAGCTGGGCAGATACCAGTTGTTAGCTGTCAGTTGTAACATTACAGACCAGTGTGTGTGAAGCAACACACAGTGAAGAATGAGCTCCCTGCTCCCTCAGGCTGTTCTTTTTTCCAGACAACACAACCTCCCCATTAGGGTTGCAGTCCGCCTCTCCACCTTGCCTGCAGCTGTAATTCAAAGGCAAGGCACCAGGAAGGCAGTCCAACCAGGTCAGCTAATCACAAGGACCTTACAAACAGATGTGAAATATCCACGTCACTGAATTTAAAGCTTCAGATTGAAACCGATTTAATTCTGATTAAACACCCTGCCTTCCATAGACCCGACTTTAAGAGAACTCACCTGCTTCCAATTGACTTGTTCTAGCAAGTATTTAACTAAGGATTTATTGAGTACATCGGAGAGGAGCAGGCAGGTTATTCTCCAGTCACAGACTACACTACATACACGACTAAAATGGCTAGTGCATGCATTGCTATAAATCGGAAGGGACAAGATTAAGTGTATCACAGGTCAGACTTCCACTGGGAAGGAAAGGGGACAATCACTGGGCAATTATAGGGGAACTGGGAGGGAAAAAGATTTTAGAGATCCGTGGAGCTTGTTCCAGAGCTCCCAATGCTTGCATGCAGTTTTATATCACAGCCTGACATTTAGGGAAGGTGGGGAGGGGAAGAAAGAAAATCCACAACCAAATCAAAGCCAAGAGAGGAACAAATGAAGTCACGTGGACCAGATGTCATCTGGGTTTAGTAAAGCTCCTTGCCTCAGATGAGCTGGTAACATTTCTTTGGGAACCCTGTTTAGAAGAGGAACAGCACAGAAACATCAGTTGAAACAGTTCCTTGGTAAGGAAACTGGATCTTCCTCCAGGACCCTTATTTCTCAAACAACTATGTGAGCTATCTGGAGGTATTTTTCATTATTCCAAGAACTGCATGTTAGTTAAACACCAGAACAGAAATAATCACAACTGAAATGAATGTTACACAGGTGTACACTCCAACAAACACTGTGGGAATACTGCTGGCTCTCTGCCCACTTCCCCAGGTGCAAGCTTATGAGTCTCAATTTTCTCATCTCACAAAAGAGAATAGACATAGAAAAGTGGTTTCTCAGCCTATGTAGTGAGTAAGAGATCAAAGGAGGAACACGATCCAGCCCAGGCCCCTCCAGCCTCCACAGTGCTCCTACACCAGCCTACGTTCAGGCTTTGGCTCTGGCAAATCCTTGAGCTAATGAGGTTGGATACTGGCCAAGGCAGCAGATTTATCGTGTGACAAGGAAAAATATCCAACATATGTTGGCTTCAGGGAATTAACCATTAGTTCAAACTTGCATCCTTAACACTTTCCCACTTCTGATGCTGCTCCTCTTCCAACAAGGCTTTCAGAAATACACAAAGATGACTGTAATTCCAGATTTAGGAGATACTGCACAAGCAATAAGAAGCTGAGAACAACAGAAGTTTTTAATCCCTAATCGAGATGGGCTTTTAAAAGGTGTATCTAATAAATCTGAAACTACAATTCCATAGCAATTATTTCTCTGGTAATTTTGAACAGGGAAAGGGGAACAAAAGCAAGTGAGTCAGGCTGGCCTGGAAATAAATGACAAAGCAACAAAGTCAAGCATGCAACCAGTATGTTTCACGGGCTGTTAGTGGCAGCATTATAGTTCACACATTACAAAATTTCAGATATCATAATGGTTTCTCATTCAGGAACACTATTATTTTTGATATGCAATCCCTGCTGCTTCTACGCTGCAGAGACAATTTGTAGCTGGGCTTCCCAGGCTTTAATATAGGGGGTCTCTCTATCAATGATTCAGATTAGCCAAGAAGCCTGGAGCACATAATCACAGAATGCTTCTCTAGCACATCTGGATCAGACTGGGACTCTTGCCATCGAGAAGCAACTCAGCATGTCATTTCAGGCAGTTTGCCTGCTTGGCTGTTTCACAACAGATTGAAGAGTTCCTCTGGATCCACAAGAAGGCAGGTTAGTGTTCTCCTTCGTGAGTTCTAGAGGATGCCATGGCAGTTCAGTAACACACAATTCTTCCACCATACTTTGTTTCAAAATAAATTCCAGTACTCAGAAGCAAAAATTGCCCTGCCCAGCCAGTGAAACACACCTCGGACATTCGAGTTTACCTGCAAGACACATGGAAGGCCAGCATGAAATCTGCAGCTTTACTGCTGGTCCACGTGAGATCATACCCTTGGCTGGCTGCTCTTCCCCCTTCAAACTATCCCCGTGAACTTCCCCAGCTGTCACCTGTGCTGTGCATCTACCTAATAATGCAGCTGCCTGGCTCCGTCCTCCGAAACTGCGGCTAAAGGAACTGTGCCTACTTGCATAGGAGGCTGGGCGGCTGGGCAGCCAGGGCAGGAAAAACGCGGGGATTTCCGAGTGCAGGAGCTCTTCTGCCACAAAGGCCACCTCAAACCATTTCCTCTGGAAGGCAGAGAAGTCATCCATGGCAGCTGTGTGCCACATGGCAGGCTGCTGCATGCCCACTGAATAAAAGGCAAGGGGAGGGACAGAAGACCATTAGAAACAAGTGCTCGGGATCAAGACAGAGAAGATCTTTCTAAAAATGGGTAAGGAAAACAAAAATATTAGGCTATGTTGTCTGCATTTTTTTTTTCTTTTTAAATAATATTCCCAAAGTCTACATTTCCTCAATTCTCTTTAGAGCAATGCTTTTGGTTGCTCCCAAAGTGCATTTCTGCTGCAACACCCATCAAGAATCAAGTACAGCTAGCAATTACGCAAAGGAATAATGAGGAATGCCTCGTAACACAATTCTGACCTCGGTCAGGTTCTTTGTCCACAACAATCTTGTAAAAATAAAAGCCATAAATAAAGGTTCGTAAAGCTTCTCCAGATGCATGGACAATCAGCTGCTCTTCCAGCATTTTCTGAACAAAAAAAAATAGAACAAAACAACACAATGGAAAAGAAGTCATTCTTTAGCTACACAGAAGATTATTAAGGAACAGTTGGAAATCAGTTTTCTCCCTGACATCTTTTTGTTCAGATGTGTGCCTATGGAGAATACCAGCAATGTTATCTCTTGATATTCAGCAAAGTCCTCATCTTCTGGAGAAACTGCATTTGACCTTTCCATAGATGTCTGCCTTCCTCCCTTACCATGCTCTGGATTTACAGATGGATTCACAGGGAGAGTTCAGAAACATTCTAGGTTCTCCATTAATTGATATGGGATCTCAGTAGAGCAATGAGCTCCAAAACATTTCCAGCCACTGCCCAGACACAGCTCAATATGGAAGACAGATTCATGAACACAACCATCATGTGCTTCAGCACTCCTAAGACAGAGGACATTTGCTGATCGTATATGATTGATATACAAACAACTTAATTAACCAAACTAATTACTGCAAGACACAAAAACACCACACTGTGGTGCTTTGTGGTTCCAACACAATGGAGAGTTCATGGTAACTTGCAGCTAACTGGAGTTTTATGCAGAACTATCACTATGTATATGAGTGCTACAATAACATATATACATTACTACTGAAGACCACACTGCTGTTTTGTGATATGGAATCCTAAAAATTCAAACTTTTTAAGAGAAAATGATTCTTTGCTAAGATATAAATCAAGCAGCACTAGGGAATGCATATTTACTGTAATTTCCATCACCAACTAGCATCTATCATCTCAGAAGAGCAGAAAATGTTGGTAAAAGTTACTTTCAGTAGTATCTTCGTGACCTCGTGTTCTGTTGAACACATTTTTCAGCATCTATCAAGAGTAGGATTTTAATAAGAAACAGGAATTAGTGCAATGCTTTCCTCCACTATTCTACTGTCTTCAAAGAGTGGGGTGTTTCTGGCCCTCTCTGCTCCCCGAGGCAGTTCCCTTACCTGCATTATGTCAATCGCCATGGCTTGGGTTTGCACACCTTCCACGTTATTCACCAACCAATGCACAACTTCTGCACTGATGAAACAGGATGGAGAGAGGCCCTTCTGCTCAGAGAGCAGCTGGATCCCTGTGCTGAAACACAGCAAGTCAAACACGTTAGCACAGCCTGCTCAACAATTCTGTTTAATTACTAAGACAAAAATCACTGTTGGGTGGAAAAAAAAAAAAGAAGAGCTAAAGATAGAAGACAGTAGGTGCACAGTGTCCCCAAAGTGGAATTTTTGTTTGTTAGTTTTGGGTGATAAGATAAAGATGACAGCACTTCAGTGTTACTCTCACTGAGAATTCTCACTTTGGCAGGACCAGAACTCTAGTAACTGAAGTCTGTACTGCAATGCTGGTACCTCAGTGTTTAAAGATCATTGCTGGAGAGATTGGAACTGAAAGCAAAGAAAAGTTGGAGAAACTCTTTCACATTTCTCATTCACATTACAGGAGTTCTCCTGTAAGTGAGACCATGCCCCACATCCACTTACAAAACTTGGAGACAGATGTTAAGCATATTTGGATTAAACACTTACGTAGGATGTTTCATGGCTTCGAGAATCTCCATCAAGGTGGAGGACGAAGTCAAAGAGCTTACTGAGCACTGCTGAGAGCTGCAAAGCAAACAGACCTATGTTCAAAAAGCAGGGCAGCTCGCCAGATTTGCTCCAATATGAGCACTTCAGAAAAATACTGATTTCTCCTCTGAACAACGACTTAGTTACATTTATTTCCTGTTTCATTCTAACATGGACAACTAGAGGCATTACACTCCTTTCTCCCTTTCTCCCCCTGAGGCTGTCAGGTTATTGCTACAGAGACCCAATTCACACATGTGGGATGAAGACACAGAACAGCAAATACTCTAAAACTAGCTTTTTTTTTTTTTAAACTTTAATATACAACTACAGGAAGCAGGTGCTGATACAGTTTATTTTTGAAGTAGCTTCCTCCCTGGTGTCTTTCCTCCAGGTTGGATCCTCTTGGATTTCTACAACCCACTCCACCCAATAAGGCCTGCAGGGCTCCCTCTGTTGAACAGACAGAAGGCAGATGTCAGTGATGTCAGTTCAAAGCCTGGCCTTCTGCTAACAGATTTCAGTCACAGAATGCCCTCATTTCTAGAAGAACGAAGCTCTTTTTGGAGGTGGAGCAATGAGACCTTGGTTCATTTAATTCTGGAAAACTGGGTTGCAAGGCTTATTTTTCACTACTGCTCTTTCTGCACATGGAAGAGTCTCGTGACAAATGCCTTCTAGTGCTGACAGACACAGCACATCTTGTTCTCAGGTTCCTGTTTAAGTGCCTATTCCACAACACCTGAAGGAGGAATCTACTGTGCAGATCCACTGTGCAGCACTACTGTGCTCCTCTTACCTGCCCTCTGCAGCACCAGCTGTTACATATCCTTGGTCTGTTGTGCTCTGGGAACTTCCCAAGCTCTGAGTGCTGCCCCTCTCAGCTGACTGCCCTGTGTTTATCAACGTATTGGCATCTGAGGTTCCAGGAACTGATTGATCTATAGAGACCTGCACGGAGTAAAGACACATTTATAAGATTTACGATGTAATCTTTCCTCCGTTTCCTTTCTTCCCCTGCCCTCCCAATTTTCCATCTCAGCTTAAGTTTGTCAATGACAAGCAGTACTATAAAGCTAGAACAAGCATACAGTGAGAGCATAAACGCAGTCTTTCTTTTGTTACCACCACAGAGCTGTTGACAAACATAAATTTACCTATGCTGGCATTCCACAGTGACCCTGGTAAAGAGGATGAGGATTGACAACTGTGTTGAAAGAACCACTGACAAATTAATAATCCCAGTCCCAACCTGACGTTTTCAGTTTGAGTAAGTGTGATTATAAACATGCAATGGACAGAACAGGAAATTTAGTCACTATGAGAAAGTAGTAAGCAGTTAGAGAAAACATTTTCAACTCTCAGACAAAAATATGCAGATGTACTACACAGAATTCAAGTTTCATAATGCACGGAATCAGTTCATCTTCCTTTCTTCCTTAAGGCAGTACTGGGAGGCTGGCTGGCACCCACCCACACCTGTGTCACTGAGACAACAAGAACATTTTCCCCCTGCAGGAACATTTGCACTATTCCACGGTAGACTGAATAGTTCAAAAATTAACATAAAATCTTTTCAGAAAGAACATGAAAGATTCAGCAAAGTACAGGCTGTAACTGCCATCTGTCTTTAACACGTATGGCTCAGGAAAGACATTATATAAAGCTAGAAAGGTGGGGGAGAGGAATATGAACAGCAGAGTAACTAAGCAACTCAAGTTAGTGTAAATATGAGGGCTGATCTGCCATGATGAATCCACAGCACAAACACAGCTAAAAAAAAAAATCACAAAGCTGGTAGTTTGATTTAGAGGTCTGACAGTGAGACCAGAATTCTTCATATTGTTTTCCATTTCTTCCATCCCAAGGATCTCTCATGCTGCAATGGCAGGTGTCCCTCTTTGAGCAGCCAGAAATGGCAAATGCTGACATGGAATCTACAGTCCCCACACTCAGCTAAAACCACTCTCCCTTCTCAGAGCTCACTTAAACCAGCAGTATTTTCTACTGTTATACTGTATTATTGCTAACTCTTAACTGCTGTTAGGTGTACAAACAGCTTCTGTCACAGTGGCTCTTAAATCAACATGAAAACAGTATTTTCTGCCCTCAGTTTTTTTAAGAACTCGAGGACACAGTTTGGTTTGGATCTCTCACAGTCAAAGACCACACAAGGAACACAGATGAGAATGGGGTAAGTAAGCTGTTGCCATTTCACTTAGCAAGGGAAGTTGGAAAAGCAGTACTTGGTGAAACACAGAAAGAGAAGCTTCAGTAGTTGACAAGACAGTAATGCAAAGGACAGTAATGCAGGGCACATGAATATCCAAGGCACACCAAAAGTATTGAATGGTAGAAGGAAAGAGTCACATCCCCCACCACTGGTCACTCTGTCCTTTTAGCACTGTGCATCTCTCAGCAAGCAGATCTGGAAACTAGCCAAGTTGCAAGCTCAAGACAACCAATGCTCTCCATTGCCTCAATCCAAAAGCCAGAGATGACAAGACCCCATTCAAAACTAACCTGTGAGAAGAAAGTTGAAGCTGAGCGAGGGCTGCGAACAAAATCCATAAAGAAGGCCCCATCCTGAAGGCATCAGAGGAAGTAGGCCCATTAATGGCACCAGGAACAAGGAGATGAAGCAAATACAAAGTTGTGGAAGTACAAAAATGACCACAGAGAGAAAGTAAGAGGAGAATGTAAATCCCAAACAGATCCAGAACGTCAGGTGCAGCAGAATGCAGAGAATCAGGAGTTACACACGTACCCTTGCTTTCTCTCTCTGTACCAAGATATTGCTCTTCCTCAGCATAGATGCTTTTCCAAAGTTGTGAAAAACACACTGACCAGAAGCCAATTCAAAACTGTGGCCTTTCCTCCACACTTTTATAAGAGAAAGACTTGAACTCTAGAGTAAGAGGGTTTTCATCCCACATGCAAAGTTAAACAGTGATACAGGAAATTGCAGAACCACGTGTAATGACACACATACACAGTAGGCCAGCTTTTTTCTGGTCCCAGTCATTCAAATGATACAGAGGGAGAGGCAAAGCAGCTCTTTTCAGAAAGCATACTGCTCCTGTCAAATGCAGGTCTGGCATGATGTAAAGAAAAAGGAAGAAAAATCCATCAAAAGATCTTCCAAACACTGTACTTAACACTTCATGCAAAATCAAAACAGGCACTGCCTATGCTATGCTCCCTGCCTACTAACCAGCCCCAGATGAATGTATCTTTTGCTGCTATTCAAAGACATGTCAAGATTTCTTATCATAAAAGACAATGCATTGGAACTCGACTGCATTTTCATTCTCTATTTGCAACTCTTTATCCTGTTCCCTAGGTAAAATATTTTGCCTACCTTGCAGCTAAGAGGATGCTTACATGCAAATGAAACATTTCATGGAAAGAATCACTACCAGGGTTACATGGCTGGCAATTTACATAGCACAGAGATAATGCCAGGCAATGTATATCCATTAGGGCAAAGAGTCAGCAAAGAGATTCTGCAGCAGACCAATTACTGCATTAAATAATTATGTATTGTATAGTAACTGGCTGAAGTGACCTGTCAGTCCTACTCTGAAACAGAGAAGAAGTGGAGCCAGGGCTCAGTTTTGATCTGGAACAATTCCAGTGCTAGCAGCATCTCAGGAAAGGATTTGCTCCTGTGGCTGCTGACAGAGCACACAGCTGTGACAATTTGTCAGTACTTGGGCTGTAAGTCTGTGGGCAGCAAACAGACATACCTGTGCTGTCGAGCCCTAACAGGTCTGTGTGTCCTGGACACACACAACACACGCTTGTTGATGTTTCCAAGTGCCTGCAAAGTTGCCAGATAAGGCTACCTGTCCAGTGGAACCCTTCTGACAAGCATAACCCATCAATTTGCAGACTCCAACTTACAAGAGGGGCCTTGTAAGAGCAGCTCTTGTAAGGGGCCTTACAAGAACAGAGTAGAGGGGGACAATCACCTCCCTGCCCCTGCTGGCCACCCCTCTTCTGATGGAGTCCAGGATAATGCATAACCACTCCACTCACATCTTTCTGTGCCTTACATGAAATTTTCACTGGGTTCAGTGGTAAAAAGAAACATTCATCATTTCCATATTTAAAAAGGGAAGGCACTCGCAGCACAGTTCACAGGAAGGCTGAGAAATAGTATAGCTCCTTAAGGGCCTGAAGAAAGCAAGATGACAGTCTTCTCCATCCTGGAGTACAGTTAGTGCAGGAAAGACATCAAACTCATGATCCAGGAACACACCTTCCTCAAACAGAAGTAAGCAACTGGAGTTCCAGCTATTAAGATTCCACTGAAGCTTCACACATGGTTTAATTCTGCTCTGTGAGACAGTCACCATGTAGGTGTAGGACTGCACTGTACTGTTTAACCTAAAATGAAACTCTGACTGAAATGAAGTGTGCTGCCAGGAAAGGAAATGGGCTAATTAACAATTGCCACCATGTAAATTAGCGCAAGAGAGTTTAGCAAATGCTGAGATAAGCATCCCAGAGATTTCATCAGTGTGCAGTCATTAGAGCACAGTTGTGCCCCAAACTCTTCTTTATGCCCTCACACACATCCTGGGCACAGGACCACTAGCTGAATTACAGAGTTAAACATGGCATGAGGTAGTCGTGTTCTTAGAATAATAATCCTCTTTACTTAAGAATTTCTCAAATAATAAATAGTAGGCATAAAAAAGGACCAAAAATGCTTTACCTTACGAGGGCTGTCCATGTAGGTGGGTGTGATAGCAATGCTCCCACTCTCTGATGGCTGCCCAGAGCTCTTCCCAGAGAGCATTGCTGCCTGCTGCTCCCCCAGACTCCTAAAACAAAGGCAGGAATTCAGAGTTTGATTAAATACTGCCAGTTCTGCCTGAAGACAAGCATTGGGGAAGGGAGCTACAGTATTCTCAGACATTTGCTTCTCCACGCTCTGAAGCACAGAGCCAATCCAATATTTTTTTTTAAGTACTTCAGATTTTTTACCCCACAAAAACAAAATAGTTCCTTGAACCTACTCAAATTTCTTACCATTACAACTATAAACATCTCTTATTCCTGACAGCAAAAGTGTTATAAATTGTTTTCAGCATATCTGGTATTAGCACTCTGAGTTTCTTCAAACCATTCTAGATCAGTACCAAAAAAAAAAAGCCCTCAGAAGTTTCAGAGGCATTTCAATAAACATCAACAGTACAAACAAGATATTTTCTTTAGGCTACGTTCATCAACCAACATTTGTATTGAGCCCACCCTACAGATGTGTACACTTCTGTATCCATATGAGCTTAACTGGAACAACTGTACTGGCAAATTAGAAATGATGACACATCTGGTATGTGATGGATTGCAATTCTAGGGTCTCCTTGTTCCTTTTCAGTCTTGTCATTCTAGAAGTACTACAGAAACATAATAAAAAGAAGTTCCAAGAAAAGCCCAGTGCACTCTGAGCTCTGCCACAAGGTTAGTGGAGAAGCAAGATCCCACACCACTCCCTTTTTCAAAACAAAGTTCCCCTGCCTGCCTTAGTCAGTCCAGGTGGAAGATATGCATGAAAGATATCTATGAAAGATAGCCTACGTTTTTCCACACACCCTAACTGTAGAAACTCACTTCTGATTGGCTTCCATCTCCAGCAGAGCTGAGAGTGCTGAGGTTCCTTTCTTCCCAATGGGAGGCCCAGGCTGCTCCAGAGAGTGGGTGGGGAGCGGACCAGCAATCTGCAAGCCTTTCATGGCAGACCCTTTCTAACAGAGGAAAAATGAAAGCACAGACCTGAACAAGCCAGGATTAACTAGTAAGCAAGAACACAGCATCTCACGTCAGCAGGGCTCTACTAATCAAACTTAAAAAATGGAGCTAAACTACAAATAAATGAGAAATGGACTGATGTTTTTGAAAGGATGCTGTTGACAAAATAAAACATATATTCTCCTGGTAACAAGGTGGCTTTGCTCCAAAATAAACCACTCCATTCAGCATGTGAATTTAAAGAGAACTTAATATGCACTAACCAGTTTCTCACAGTCCTTTTTAAAACCACTGTTTACCAGGTATTCATCTATACAGTTCTCTTTTTCTCAATCCTTTTTCTAAGTCTGTAGCACACATCCAACCAGATAAGAGAAGTCTGCAGCCTCACTCTTTCACAGCTCTCTTTTCACCAATGATCTGCATCACAAGCTGCAGTGTGTCCAGGTTAACCACAACCACAGCACAAAGCAATGTACACTTGCAAACAGGTGACACCAGGCTTATGGCATGGGCAGAGCAGCTGGCTACAGCCAAGGTATCTGTGCAGAAGAGCTTGGCTTCTCACCGAGTGAGCTGACAGTTCCAATTCTGTTTCCAGCCACAGCAGTACGTGGCACCCCTTCCAGGGGAACTTAATTAGTTTAATCAGTTGAGTAGCAGCGAGGTGCTAATAAGACCACACTGTTTTACTGTTTTTACACACTGAAATGTCATCCAGCACGGCACTGTGCTGTATGTCCAGATACAGGCTCATTCACGTGTTTGGATTGTCTCAGCTAATTCTGCTAATGCTTCATTAGACTACGCAGAGAAACCCAAAGTTAGGGAAACAACTACTAGGTAAGCCTGCATCTTCTCACCCGAATCATTCGATCGGATCGATGGCGGCGACGAATGCGGTTCAAACCTTCCACAAAGCGAATGAAGCCATCGAGGAGCTGCCACTCCTCCTCATCAGAACGGGGCTTGTCTCCATACACATCACAGTGCACTTCTCCCTCCATAATACGTTTTGTGGCACTGATGCAGGCAGGCAGAAGGAGAAAGCGAGTCCTCCAAAATTTCAGTGATTCAATAAGGCTGCAGGAAGAAAGGTGGAAGACATGAAAGTTCAGCAGAGCTGCCTGTGAAGGATTCTACAGTAAGTAAATCTATCAGCTGTCAATTTCAATAGAGTAAGCATCTCATTCTGTTATCTGTGTGTGACAGAAGGTAGACAAGCATTGAAGTGGTCAGCAAAACGAATGCCACTGGGAAGTATTCCAGCACACTAAGAAGACTGTGAATGAGAAGAAAAATCAAGGCCGTCCTCAGAATGAATGGTATCACAGGGAAGTATTTTCTGATCTATAAAAGGAGGGCTACAAAGCCTTTTGCCCCCAAAAAATAAACTAAAAAAAGGAATGTCTGTGGTACACTTCACAGCAGCAAGTGCTTTGGCTGACACCTGAAAAGAAACAAGGATACAGAAACACTGGTCTTGTTGAGAGAAGGTATCAAAAAAGCTATTGACACTAGTGAAGATATCCCACACCACTAATGAGTAGCTCCATTCCACGTAGTTTATAAGTAGGAATACAGTAAAGCTATGCCTACAATTCGAGCAAGAATCCAACAGATACAGAGATGAATGGGAGTTTTGAGTCAGATCCAGAAATGAGTAAGAAGCCAAGAAAAGCATCTGCAGAGTACAGAAAGCCCCCATACTTCTTTGCATCTGTGGCAGAGAAGTAAAAGTTTGTGCTGAGTTTTACTACCAAGGTTTTGTATCAAAGACCAGAAAATGCAACAGAAGCACTGAGTAAGATTCCTATAGCAGTAAGAGAGGTCTGCAGCACTGAGAAAGCAGACAGCTGCTCTCTGGTGTACTGAGCATTTGTAGGTCGAACTTATTTGAAGAAATTTGAGGTCAGAATGGAAAAGAGGAAATCAGGACACAGAACAATCTGGATGGAAAAGGAGATCTCACCTGAAATCCTCTGAGCCAGCAGAGCAGATATACTGATCCAAGTAATTCCACTTGTATTCTTCTAATCTCTCGTGGGAAAACTCTACCCAGCAAGAGACAAATTCAGAGTCAGAATGAGAGGGGCACAAGCTGTAAGTGTAGTTTATCTGAGCAGATTCATATGGATACCTAAAAAAATACAACACAAACCTTAATCTTCGCATTATCAACAGCAGTGCTTCTCTTTCTTCTAAAGGGACAGAAGCTTCACAGTACATTCTTTTGAGTATAGGCAGCTGGGGAAGCATATTCATCTGCACATTATAAACTGCTCAACCACAGAGATACTCACTTGGGCAGATATCGAGTCACAGTAATTATTTTGTCTTTTAATGTCACTTTGTGGAAAGTACGGCCCATGCTCAGCCAGTACTGATCTTCTTCCTCAGGTCGATTTCTTGAAACAAGGCCTAGATGTAAAAATCAAAGCACAGGTCCTTTTAGCTTCCTGCAATATCCAAAACTTTATAACCAAACTGGACCTATAGAAAAAGACTCCAGAGACAGATTTCTGAACTCAGACAAACTGAAAGACATCTTCCACCTTTTTCAGGGACATCTGCAGAATGAGCTTTTTGTTCTTGCAGTTTGTGAAGGCATTTGTTCAGTTATAATATTAGCAACACATACATCATCAAAATAGACTTTCTTTAGGGAGGACAAGGAGAAAACAAACAACATGAAGTGCTGAGAAACCGGTGGCTACAATTCTAAAGCTGGGCTCCACTTTCCCCTCCTCTCTGTCCTTTATTTCTGAAAATAATCACTTAAACTCAACAGTACAAATCAGTGAAAAACAACTACATCTTGTGTATTCCCTGCTCTATGGACACTGTATCACTCTTGCCTGGAGAATATTCAGAAAGAAGTCTAAAGGCAAACAGTAAATCAGGTTCTCTCCACTGAATATGAGATTGTCTCATCCCACTCCCAGTCCTCTGTAATGTAACTAGGTTTAGCTGACACCTGGTTTCAGGATAATAAAGCTTCACTCCTCTGCTTGGGACTTTCACAGCTATTACAAAGCTGGAAAAACACTGCTAGATTAATTTTGTAACTTTCAGATACACAAATTTTGGAGGTTTCAGTCTGTCATCTAACAGAGATGTGCCTGCCTTGTAGTAACCATGTGAATTGTGGTTAAGATACATTCACCCAAAGTACACTCAAGCCATATTAAATCTAGGTTCAGCATCATGAAAATGAGGCCAGCTTCTTATTGCATTCCAAAAATCCTGTGGGTTTTCCTTCACAGTGCTCCTGAGTTGTTTGTGCTGCCCCAAATCAGGCTCTCCCCCACCAAACTTTTTTTTCACATAACAGAAAGAAACCAACCCCAAACCAACAACAAGGAAACTGAAACACGTACAAAAAAATGACAATGGTTTCAAGGAATATCTCTGCTTGATTCATGGACGTTACTGGCACTGGCAGGAGGAGAGAGAGACAAAAACTTCATTTTCAATCCAAAGTCACCCACCTCGACTGTAAAGGGGACTGCTGCTGAGCGGGGGTGGCACAGTTGTGGCTGGCTTCTGTGGTTTAGATTGCACGATAATTTGATAGCCTTGCATGAGACGCTGACAAATAAACTCCTCAAACACCTGCTGGGCTGTCATCTGCACTCCTTCCTCATCTCTCCTGAACACAAAGGTTAAGAAGGAGAGCAGAATAAGGAAGCTGACCACACACCTATTCTTAGCTCTGTGTTTCCTAATTGAGGACTTATTCCCACACTGAGCTCTCTGCAAGTGAAGCACTCTGCCTGTGAAAGCAACCTGCAGGAAGTGGAGAGAAAATGCACCCTGTTGTAAACAGGTGATGATGAGCTGCCTGGCAGTACTTAATAGCAGCATCTGTGAAAGCTCATTTTAAAACCAGTAACAGAAAAAGACTCCAAAAGATTTGCTTACAACTTCCAATAAATACAAAGATCATTTTTTACAGCACTTTCCAGAGAATCTCAGTACAGACTGTACATGTTCAGCAGAACTTAGACTGCAGGTGAGCAGGCAATGCTCCACCCTTCCCCACAGCAGGAATTCAGGAGCAGAGAAAGATTTAAAGGCAGTTAAAACATCAATCAGCAGCTGGGATGATGAGAGACTCAGCATCACTACGCTGTGCTACTACAACTACTTCCTCTCTTGAACTTTGCCCTCCTGCATTAAAGGGATATTTCTTCTTGGTGGCTCTTGTTATTTTTTGAAGTAGAACTTTGTAAGCAAACCATTCCTAAAAAAGCATAGAGTATAATACTGTCAGATGGCAACATCAGAAAAGGTGCAGAATTACCACTGAAATGAGAAAAATCCAAGTATTTTGCTGCAAGTGATATCAGCAGCTCATTTTTCTCTTGTATAAACTGCAAAGCATTCCTCTCCCATCAACTGTGTTTGAAGCACCTCGGATTCACTGCAAAACACTTGACAGAAAAGGTGCTGGCCAAACCTGTCCATGTCAGCTTCTGGGAGCAGATCATAGCAGCCCTCAGTGTAGTCATTCTGCAGGCTCTGGCGGTCGGGGAAGTAGTCAGTGGTAAGAGGGAGACACGCCGGGGTAGTGAGAGATTTCCAGTCCACTCCAACTGTACAACAGAAGCCTGGCACTACGGGGGGAGCAGACAGTGTCAGAACTGCCTCGTCGCATCATTGGGGGGAGACAATCAGGGCATATATGGTCACCCATGGAAAAATTGGGTGTGGAAGGAGATGAAAGTATGTGAAGAGGAGCGTTAAGGTTGAAGGAGAAGTGTGGAGTTGGCATCAAGACAACAGGAACAAGAAGGGGACGGAGTGGGGAGGGGAAAGGAAAGTAAGAGAGGAAGAAGGGAGGGAGAGAAAGAGACAGTTTGTTAAACAATGCAGTGCCACGTGCTAATTAAATCCCATCATGCAAACAGCAATCAAAGTTAATGCATTTAATTTTCTATTGATTGAAAGCTAAAGCCAAAACAGTCACTGCTCTGCCAAAATTACAGCAAGTTGGGTGCATTTAAAAGTTATTAATAAAATAGGAGAACATTCCAAGTCTGAGCAAGAAAAATCAGACCAGCTTTGCATCCCAGATAACTGCAGAACGAGTTAGGGATGAGCAGACAAAGAATGACAGACCAGTCTCATTTTGGAATAGTACAGCAGCACAAAAGGGAGCATTTCTACAGTTATAAAAACAGAAGACAGACTCAGAGGAAGACCAGAAAAATATTAACTTGGAAAGAATCCTCTCCCACACCATCTTCTGGAGTTATGTTGCAGATTCAAGATTACAGAGATCTAAAACTAGGCACTGAAAAGCAAAAGCTGACCAAATCAGCCATATCATCAGTTCACTACTGCACTACTTTTTCCCCTGCCTTGAGCAATATGTAGCAAGGCACAGGGCCAACTACTAGTTCTTCTCACAGAGGTCTTATAAATTATTTTACTACAAAAATGTTAATAGGAAAAACACTGCAGAAGGAAATTACAAAGACCTGTTATAAAGAAAATGTTTTCGTGCTTGTTTCTGTATTAGACTGAGGTACACAATTCTCACTAAATGACACCAAACTCAGAATCTGACTGCACTACTTCTGCTTCATTTGGCTGTGCCAAGTGAGCCCGTCATACTGAGAAGCAGATAAGAGTTCAGTCACTTCAGGTTTCAATACAATAGCATGTGGTAAGAAAGGAATTTCAGACATAAGATGACAAATAGTTCATATATTCAGAGATATGGAACTTCTGTCAGTGAGACACTCAGAACAGGGAGAACCTGACACAGCAGCACAAAAAACTACTGCCGAAAGGCAAGCAGGCTCCTCCAGTTTCTTGCCTACCACCTCCTTATTCTTCTGTTCATTTCCCTCCCAATCTTCACATCTATTTCAATTCTTTCCAAAACCTTCCTCCTGCTTACTTGGATCTGGAGAGTTAGAGAGAGCATCTTCTGATGAATCCTTGTTCTGAGTTTTGAGGTTCATCCCTACAGGAAAGAAAAATACGTATTTTTACTTTTTAAAATATTCCATGTCATGCCCTTTAAGAGCTCAGGATTCTGCACAGAAAAAACAAAAAAAGAGATACACCAAGGCAACTAATGAGGAGAAAGCGAGACATAAAATTCCAATATCAAGTGTTCAGTAACTCTAAATAAGCCCAAAGTATTAATTATGGGCAGTTTTAAAGGCCAACAAGCATTTAAAGGAACAATTTAAAAAAAACCTGACTTAGATGCATCCAGGAAATTGATACATCATACCCGTTATTCTAAATAGCATTTACTAACAGAAAGGATGGCTATCTGCTCCCATTATGATGCTGGTAAAACAGCAGAGGTGGCTCAAACTGGCATTCATCTTTCATCAGCTCCACTGATGCCATCTGCCACCTAGCTAGGGAATTGCAACAAGATTTATTTGCTCTGAACTGTATCTACCATCTGCTGGATAACAGAGACACCATACTGAATGTCAGTGCAAACAGATGCAGCAGTTCTTTACTGTGAAGCACACATTGCAGCAAAACGTGCTGTGGGCAGCAAAGGAGATCAGATTCACTGAGAAATCATATTTTTGGAAATAAAAAAAAAATAAGCGTTCCATTTCATAGATGACTTAAACCATAAGGGAGAAACATAAGTCAAATCACTGAGTCACACCACAGCAGCTACAGATGGCTGAGGGGGTTCAGTCAGGGAAGGCACCCATGATGACTTTCATAAAGACAGACACAGATCAGCCTCCACCACATACATGATTTACATCCAACCTACAGACATGAAAGCTTTCTATAAAATGCAAGGATGTTGATTGTTTAACAGCAAATTACACCCAGCAGGTGGAATGCAGCTTAGACTTTGTTCTGGCAATTGCTATCTGTCATGCAGAAAAAGCAGAGGACAAAAATGACATGAATTCAAATGAAACCCAAAGAAGGAAATAATGGAAGTCGCTTTCAATGCAGCTACATGAAGAAGACAAACATGAAAACTAAGCCTGCTAACAAAACACCCTTGTGACTCTGCAGTGACCGTAGGGGAAATATGTAACTGTTTTCACTCAAATGCAATTTCAAAGGGTGAACCTTTTTTTAATCCCAATTTGAAGATTTTTATTTATTTATTTTTTAAGTCTTGAAAGTTATAGGACAAAAGATAATTTCAAAATTCTATGTATCCTATCTGAAAAGAACGTGCCTAAAATCAGAAGATAGGCTGCTATAGTCAGGCAACACAACCAAATGCTGCTGGGACATATTAATCCAGTTACAGGACTAAAAAGCCAAACAAACCAGCACAATTTCTACTAATGCAGGTCTGTGGGCAGGGTAAGAAACACAGCATTAATCTTCAACTGAAAGCACAGACATGAGTCTACTCTTTAAAATGTGATTAAATATTTTGGGCTATGTGAGTAACATTTGGTGCGAGCAGCACTGTGTTCTGAGTGCTTAAAATCTGGAGAAAGTGCTTTGCTAAGGAACAAGAAGAAATGCCAGGAAGTATAAATTCCAGAATCTTCCATGCACAACAGGGCTGCAGCTTTACAGATGCTCTCAAAACCCTGATATGACAAACTTTATTATTTTTAAACATAGAAGCTGATGGAATAGAAATGCTCAAATTTGTTACTCCAAATAATGATATCTAGAGGAAACCACACACAGAAAAAGAGCTCTGAACAAATTCAGTGCATATTTAGGGGTTTTTTTTGTGTGCACACATCAGTGCTTTGCTAATAGAGAATTAAGCTACTGCCTTAGAGTTTATGGTATGCCAACAAGGAGCAGCTTTTCCTTCTGAAGTTTATAATATAGAGCTAGACAAGTAGAGACGCATCAAAAAAGATGCATCTCCTTAGAGTTGGAAATGGTTTCTTCTGTTGTTGGTTCTTCTATCCGTGATGCCTGGTTCACCTACTTCCCATGCTTCCTGGCTCCACTGCTGTTGCTGTCAATAAGGGCCTCATCCCAAACACGAAGCTCTGCCACTGCTGTGTTACCTGCACCATTGCTGCCAGCCAGACCGTTGGAATACTCCTCTGTGCCACTGAAGCTCAGGAAGGAGGCACCGTCACCTGGATGCCGAGAAGTGCTGTGCCTGGAGAAAACCAAAGCAGCCTGTATTTCAGCACAAATACTTGCCACACTCATGACATTCCATACTTTTACTAACAAGCAATATAACAAATAACGAGCAACCAGCCTGCCATCCCAACTGAGCTTTCACAACCATGCTCCTCCTAATGATGTTTGCAAGATGGCAACAGGCACAAAAAAATACTGAGCAATAACAGTGCACTGTCTTCACTGAACAATAGAGAGCTAGATACACATACACCTCCCCTAGAGAAATAAAACTTAGTTGTTTACTGAATCTGATTTCATGGCCCAGAAAGCCAGCATTCCAGACTAAGGAAATTGCTTTGGACGACTGTATCATCCACAGAGACCACGAAAAGATTCAAAGAAAGTACTATCAAGAATAAGACAGCAGGAGACATGAGTGTTAAGATCAGAAATTTTAAAATATTATGAAGTAATAAGGAGGCAATAATCTTTTATTTACAGTAGAATTACAGCACAAAGACTGTGAGGACGATACAATATGAAAATTATGCAACACACAGAGGGATGAGAGCATGCCAAAGGATAGCACACAAAACAAGCCAGGATAACAACCTCCCTTGAAAGAAATGAAAAATGCTTGAAAGAAAACCAGATTGAAATTTCCTGCAGGACTGTTCAAAGGCAGCATGGGAAAAACATCCCTGAAAATTCAGAAGGCAGAGGATAGCACGTGCTCCTCACTCTGCTCATTCTGAAACAATATGGAACACAAACCTCTATAAGCAAGAGGAAATAGCAGCAGGAAAAATATTAAAATTATTGATAAAAGAAATTAGTATTGGCAATTCTGAGTTGTCTAGGATACCAAAATGGTTTTTTTTTGTAAATGATATTTAATAAGCATAGAGTGAAAAACAGACAAAACATCTTCAATAAAAGAATTACCAGGCAAAAACCAGGTAAGAGAATATCTGGAAATTGGAGAATAACTGTGCAGCTTGATAAATGGCTTACATCGAGAGAAGGACCTAATTTCTCTCACTGTAAAATCAGCTTCCCCACAATCATACCATATCCTGCGACACTGGGATCTCACTTCTCACAGCCAACAGTCAATACAAATTCCCAGCCCTGACCAAAGCTTGTTTTTAAGAAAAAGTTGTTTTGAGAACACAGGTACTTTCATTTGCAATCCACTCCTAATGTTTATCATGGCTGTACTTCTTATGAGCAAAGGGAATACAGGAATGAATGGACGGGTCTGGAAGGGTTCAGCAGTTACTGGGAGGCAAAGCTATGTCTTATCCTAAAAAATGTTCTGTTCTCACAACTGGGATAAAGAGCCAAGAGTTAAACACAATCTCTAATAACCCAAATTTGAATGAATCCATGAATAATGCTTTGTACTGCTCATGCATTGCAAACTGTCATGAGCTACTGCCTTCCCCAAGCTAGAGGAGGTAAACCATTTCCAGACTTGCCACAAGAGAAGTACATGCTGCATTTGATGCAGCACGTTGTTGAACTTTCAGATGAAAGCCTGTAACACAGAGAGAATTTTAATGAAAAAGGATGTTACTGCAAAGAGTACCCAGACCCATCCTGAGGACCTCACCTGCCAGCTGCCTCGTGATAAGCCAGCTCCAGCAGCTCAGCAGAGGAGTGTGTCAAATCCTGCTGCCCACTGTCCTGCATTTCTGCCATATTCTGTCGGGTTTGGTGATGAATCTGGATAGCTTCTCCTGATGGACCTACAGTTACAGTTTGATCATTAGTTCACTTCATCTGCCTCGATTCCTCATTTGTTTTCATTCACTCATACCCCTCTCGTGCCAACACCTCTGCTTTAACAAGTCCATACACCCAGCACAGTCTCTGTTACGCCACAGAGTACTTCAAGTCACCAGATTTCACACTGGTTCCCTTGTTGGATGAAGAAAGCAATTCCTAGCTGTGTAACGTGCTATGAAACAGACTTACCCACAGGAAAAGTGTGCATCCAGCGCCTCCTGTTAGATGTAAGCTTCATGGGCATGCGTGATGGAGCAAATGGATTGATCAGTGCTCTCTGGGGTGTGTATCCCCCAGGCCGAATGTGTAGCATGGATTCTGCACTGCCAACGTGGAACCTCCCTGGGGCACTGGAGTCACGCTGCTGAGACTCCAGCATGTTGTCAAGGACATCTAGAAAGCACAACTTAAAGTCAGCATGAGATCAGCCAAGTAAAAGAAAGCGAATTGCTATGGGATATAAAGACCCCCCAGGGTAAGTGGGAACGAGGAGAGCTGAGGAACAAGCAGGGAGAGATGCTGAAATCAATTTCAATCTAGTCTGTAAGTTGCAACAAACAAGAAAGAGTACCATTTCGCTTGCCATTACAGCATTTCTGTGTAGTGTCACTTTATACCCAATAAAGCCAACTATGCAAAATTACTCAGAGCTTTGAGAATTCCTGAAGAAACAAAGCAAAAGACTGAAAGAACATACAAGAAACCTCAAGATGAGCACCAAAGAAGCCACAAGTGAGTAATGTATACATTTTTTGTAACGTTCAGATTTGGCCACTTAAATATGAAATTATTTCCAGAAGACACTGGGACACAAGATCTCAGCAAGCTAGCAGCCAGTCATTACTCCTCAAGGTAGAACATAAATACAGTTATTTAGAAATAGGAGGAACAAACTAGATGACTCAGTAGCATTTGCTCGTTCAACAAACAGAAAACTCCAAGAGAAGGGATGATCTCGTTTAGCACTGTATACTGCTTACCAGAACATGTGAACAATTCCAGTTACTCTGATCATTCCCTCCCCATCAGTCCTGTTCTACACTCTACATCCCCAAGCAGGGCATGTCCTCAGCTGAGCCACACCACCACCTTTCAGACTAAAGGAGTAACAAAAATACAAGAGTATCTATGTATATATAACTGACAGAACGGGGAGAATGCATGAAAAGGTAAATGTGACAAAGTTCCTTATGTGATAGCAGGTCCACACCAGTAAATCCTATTCCTATAAGAAGACAAACATGATATGGAGTATCAGACAGAAAGAAATGAAAAATAAAAGTATGGAGAGCCTTCAGGGACAGAACTCTACTGATCAAGCAACTGCAGGGGGAATGCAATTTACCCAGCAGTGGGCTTATGAAGCTATCACATACTGTCTGAGAATAAAATTAAATTAGAAGAGTGGGGAAAAAAAAAAAAAGGGAGACTGTCATCACTGCTAACACACTGAGACAGCTCAGCAGTACTGTCAAAAGGAAGGACCCAGAAAGTGACTCTTAACAACAGTAACTACCCATAGAGAGAAGTTACAAGCAGAGTCCCCCAGGGCTCATTACTAAGGTCAGCTCTCATTTCACAGATTATAGGTGACCTGGATGATAAAAATTTACTTGTATATGTCCACATTTGCAGACAGGCACAGGAGAATAGTCAAATATTAGGGAAGGCAATAGGCAAGGGAAAAGAACACCTCAGTATCGGGACACTTCTATTTAGGACAAGCCAATTAAAGAAATGCAATGGAAATGGACAAGGATGAAGGGAGAACACAAAGTGTCTCAGACACAGCTGGAACACATAAAAACTGTAGCACAACTTTCAGTGTGAGCACATTTTCCCCGTGTTGACCTGGCAGACCAACGTGAGCTTTGATTTTCTCTTTCCCCTCACCACCTAAGGTATTTTCTCATCTGCCTCAGGCTGACCTCTGGTGCTGGTATAGCCCAAAGAGCTGCTGACTTCATACTGATGCAGGTGAGGCCGTGGGATCATCAGGATGTTGGAGATCTTGCCCAGTGAGCTGTCATCAGAAGCCTGGCTCCTCACCTCCTCTGGGGGCAGCGTGCGGCTCTGCAGAGAAGGGCTGCATGAGACATCATAGGAACTAGAGCTCTTTCTGGTACGACTTTCTCTCTCCCTCACGGATCTGCTGAAAAGAAATAGTTACATGCAGTGATAAGAAAAAAGGGAGAATTCATTCCAGAATTTTAAAGGGGCTTGAACAAGCTCAACTCATGTAAAAGATTCAACAGCCAAGTGCAAAAAAAAGACAACTAAAAGGAAGCTACCACTGTGTTTTGGTTTGGTTATTTGGATACTAAATACTCAGTGCATTATACAGTAAGCTCACGCTCTCCTCATATTTCTCCAAGTACATTATGCATCAAGAAATACACCAGAACATCACTGCTCTCAAACTGGTACACTCACAGTCCTCTTACCTAAAAGTGGTGCAGCGTTGAGCTCTGGATGGACCTGGCAGTCTGAACACCTGGGCATCATAGCCATCGTAATCAACCTGGATGGGCAGGGCATTCTCAGCATCTTTCGGAGCTCCTAATGCTGAAATAAAATCATATGGTTCTGGAACCTCTTCCAAGAATGTTAAGAACTGCAGGGCAGAAGCACCCAACTCACACCACTAAATAGCAGCTCTTCCGAAAGAAAACGCATACAAAAATCTGATGAGCAGAAGACTGGAAGGGATGCTTGCTCAGTTATCAATGTCTGTGCCTCTGAATCTGAGTTGCTGAGGCCCTAACGTCTTTCCCACATACATCCAAGAGATTCATTACTCCATAAACCATTTCTTGTATAAACAGATGCCTCAAATCACTTCAAGAGGAAAGTGCATGTTTTAAACCATCTTTGCAAGAAATGACAACTTCTCTTTTAGAACACACACGTTCCTGAAATTAGGTGGTACTAAGCAGAACGCAGGCTTCTCCCACTGCAATTCTGTGGCCATATCACTGACAGCACCTCAAGCCAGCAAATGAGTCCTGTCCACTTCTCATGAATGGCAGTGCAAGCACACCAGCCTGACCCCACTTATTTCTGTAGTCAGGTGACAGGCAGCTAGGACCTACTGCCTCCCTCCACTGTAGTTATTTGCCTAGAATGCAAATCAGAGATCCACATTAACATCCTGGGTAACATCTGTGTGCTTTTCAAGTTCTTCTGCAATAATTGGCCCTTCTGGCATCTCATCAGAAGTGTCTTTGCTGTTAATGTCACAGTCTTACTACAGCTGCTTGTTAGTTAGGGAGTGAGTGTGATAGATCATTGCATAGGAGGATTACTCACAGGCATCTCGGCTATTTTTTGTTTTCTCAATCAGTGGCTGGAGGGTCCAACAAAGGAGTTATGAAGGAAGAGATAAGGAGAAAAACAACAGTCAGCATATTGTAAGGAAATACCCCAGTGTGATAAAACATCAAATTCAAGCTCACTGAAGCAGCCATAACACGTCAGAAGTATAAAAGACTGTATAAAGTATAAAGCATTTCTCACCTAGGTTAATTTTAGAGATCAGGACGGACTGATCCCAACAAACTAGTCCCTCATGCACAACCCCTACAACACCCATTTACAGACTAGTTTGCAATGTCTTTTAAACAGAGAAATGTAGTGACTACTGTTCCAATATTAACACTGCTAGGATTGGATGCTTGGCTGTGAGATGATTTCTGACCTAATCAGAAAGATACCTACTTTCCTTCCTGCCAGTTTGATCCGTGGAGTGAAGCTGTTACACTGAAGCTGGCTTTTGGACGTGTAGAAACTGAAAGACAGGATAGTTCAGCTGTCTTCTAGGAACTGAACATAGCTGCACAACCACATAGCAGACAATCTGTGAATTTGAGCCAGTTATTTGAGGGAAAAAAAGGGTATACCTTTCTTTGCTTAAGACAACATCTGAAAAAACACTGCAGATGGTTAAGTAGAGAGACAGTACTCTTGTCCTTAAAGACCAGCCTTAGAATTTCATATAACCTCAGTCTTGACCTCCTCTTAATGTATTGAAGTCTGCATTCCCCAGTTCATTTCCTCCTTCTACAGAACCATATCAGCTTTCACTGTCTATAGAGTACTGCACAGTTTACATGATTCTTTCCCTAATTTACATGACAGTAACGACTCACACGAACTGCTCGAAAACTAAGGATCTCCTCCCATTTGGGGTAATTATTCTTTAAGATCTGTTCCTTGTCACCTGAATCTTTTAAATCCTGCCATCAAACACCTCTTTCATCTAAGGAAAGGACCGAGTGCCTTCCAGCTACTTGAAAAGACTGCATATACACAAAGCTTGAATGGTTATTAGTCAGGACAGCCATACAATGCATGAAGATAAAACAAAGTATTAAAAGGAAAAAAAAATGTTCTGCTGCAGAACAGGGGTTGTAGAAGCTGCTTTTGTTCTGATCTCTAATGGTAGAGAAAGAGCAGAGAGCTTTAGGACACAATGTTTAAGAGAAAGAAGAAAGAAAACCTACCATGCCTTGGGGTAAAGCAATGTAAAACTGAGCCTGGTTTCCTACAATTGCTCTAGTATTTATCCATGCTATTCACATGCTCTTTACCTGTAACTATTCACTGGAGAGGTACTTATTTTTCCCTAGCAATCAATTTAGTTGAAGTGACAGTAATTTTTCTGAGCTTCCTGACTTACTTAAATCATAATTTAAGGCTACAACTCAGCTGGAAAGAGAGCTTAAGATCAAAACTTTTTCCACTTCAAATTGCCTATCACATCTGACATGTTGAATTAATGACCAGAGTTCTGCAACAACAGTCTTAGCTCTGCAAGACCACTGTCCCTGCTTTGTAAGCAGAGCAGTAGAAATAAACAATGGCAGAAGAAAGAAATCAACATATGTACAGAGAAGAAAGCACAGCACAGATGTTTTGCAAAGGCTATTATCTCCTGAAAAACTTTAAGAGCTCACCTACCTATGGTTTATCCAGTGTGGAATGTTGTAGTCATCACCCAGCCTGGAATCCCCAGGTCCACAGCGATTATGGAGCTGTAAGAGGAATTCAAGGCAAAGCAACCAGTAGTGTCTGTCACAAAGTAACACTCCTTCTAGGAACAGAGAAGGGAGGAACAGCATGCATTACCTTAAAGAGCGGCACAGCGTGCAATGGTTGCTCTCCCATGCATACCAAGTCCACGCCAATGCCTGTAAACAAATAACAGCAGAGTTCAGCTGTCAGAACAGACCACATGCTTTGTATTCACAATAGATTTTAAAAACATGATTGCACTGTAAATAGCAGAGAGTAATCCCACGGTATGGCTACAAAACCACCTGTGGGAATATCAAAAGTGTTTCTTCCAGACTAACATAAATCATGAAGGATAATCCTGCAAGGGGGGAAGGTCTGTGTGGACTGATGAAGTGCTCCACTATCATTGAAACAAATCAATACCTGCAAGTTCTCTAAAAACCAAAGCATTTCAACAGTGCAGACACAAGCCCTCCAGTTGTGGCCCCTCTTTCAAAAAAAAGTACAAAAGTTGCAAGTACTATTTCAGCACAAGAAAAGGGCAGAACTTTCCCAAGGGTATCTGTTACCCTTCACAGAAGTGACTGGTTATTTACCATTGTCTATCATCCGCTGCTTGGTCAGAATCATAAGGAGGCGATCGACTTCAAACACACCCACGCCAGGGGTGATGACCACTGACATCTGCCCAGTCCGATCAAAGTTCCTGTTTATGTAATGCTTGTCGAACACTGCGAGGAAGAAGCAGGGAGCACTTCATCAAAAAAGATGCTGGATGTATTTCTCAAAGCAAGGGAGTTGACTCTCTGTTGGTACAGGCATTAAACAAGTTTCCACAAAGCACACGTGGAAGTTAGGACTTGCACATAGCATTGTTCAACCAGTAATATAAGTAAAGCTATAGCAGTAGGGCAGAAAAAGAAAACAGGAACTGGATACCTAAAAAGGGATCTTTTTTCATATGCTTCATGTTCTAACATCTCACAAAACAAGCCAGCAAAAAAAAAAAACAAACACACAGCAAACAAAAAAACATCCAGTGCTTCAAAAACAAGCAAACCCCACCTATATCATAAACCCCCCCTACATCATAACACAAAGGTCAGCACTGGTCGCTAACGTGCTGTGCTCCCCCTCTCGTGTAAATACAGCCATTGTGAGGATAGAAACATTCGATGTAAACAGTCACAAAAAAGCACATCTTTGGGGATCCCTTCCAGACAATTAAATCCATCTGTCTGCTAAAAAAAGATGGATCACCTTGACCCAAGTAACATTTGATCAGCCTGCTTTTGAAAGGCTCACAGAATTAAGAAATTCCATTTCTGTTGCAAGAAGTTTGCATACAGACCCACAGCTGGGAGAAACATTTTCATCTGAACAAGGCCCTGCATTGGTTCCTGAACCACCCAACACTCCGTTAGGAGAGTCACTGTTTTTTCCAGAGACACACATTAGAAACTTTCTTCTGAAGCAGGAAATGACAGTTGAACCACTTCATATTTCTCTCTCCTCAGTGACGTTAAGGAACAGGCAGGAGAAGCCCACAGCCGTTTACTTGCACCTGTTTTAGTGGCTCCTCCTCTGTATATTTTTATTTGTTGTTCATAACTTACCATTGAATGAAAGATTTATGGCCTCCAAGTAGTTCCCTTGTGCTGATGTAGAATTGAAACCTGGAGGAAAGCCCTCTGGACGAGCGTTCAGAAGGAAAAAATAAATCAATTGTAACTGCAGTGGTATTAAGGCCTATTACCTCAACAAATTACAGACAAAAATGGTGCATCTCACAGAAAGATCTGAGCAAAACAACTTACTCAGGAGAGCACTTAAGTAGTGCAGTATCAGACTACAACAAAAGCTGGAGTTTACAAACAGTTTTCCTAAAAGATTTTTTTTAAGAGAGTAAAAAGCCCAGGAGAGGGGTTTCCTTTCACCTGCTTGCTCCAGTCGAACCAGCACAGGATACTGGATGAAAAGCTTTTTAATGGTCACAAGCAATGAGGTCCACTCTTCTCGTCTCTCGTTCTGAACTACAACTCTAGAAAGAGCACAGCTCAGTAAGTATCATGACAAGAATACAAACCACACTCACACCCAAGGGGCAGACTAACATAGCAAACAAGATCGTGTGGCCACAGAATGGGAAGTGCTGCCACTTTCAGACATGCACGTTTTTCACAATCTTAATTCCTAGCAAGGTCCTACAGCTAACAACACGACGTTCTCCACAAGGGTGGTGCATACACTGTGAGACAGCTGAAAGAACAGGGAAGAAGACATACTTGTAAAAATCTTCATAAAACCTTCCCTCGTGATCCTGCCGGATGGATGCACGATGTGTTTCAGGAAACTCATCTGAAATGGAGGCAGCACAGCAATCACACTGAGTTCTTGTACAGAAATGCCTGTTGTCTTTTCTAGCAGGGAGTGGTTAACTCCCACTGAAGAGGAAAGTCTCTGATAAATATTAGTTGTCCCTCACAACATTTAAATTGCTTTTAAAGCAACATGACAGCTTGAGTACGAGGAAAATTTGCCACATTTTCCTCCAAGTACAGTTTTTACTGCAGTACTGTCATGACAGTGGCTGTGTATCCATTGTGCTTGGTAGGGAACACTTTTGACATGGGCATAAAAAACAGCAGAAAGAGTCTTTGCCAGACACTAAAAATCTCTGATGAGAGGAGAAAGGTTAAAAACAATAACATGAAAACACAGAATTTACTTACCTATACATTTTGCTTCATAAAACGTTCTGGAAAATAGAACCACTGTCACTTCATGGCTACAATTCTTCTCCTGTCCAGGAAGAACAGAAAAAAAAAACTTTCACCCACAAAAGGGTAACACTCAGTACATACACATACAGTAACACCCTCTATACCTCACATGTAGGACCTAGATAAAAGTGTACTGCTGTATTTATGTATAGGCAAAAAGACTGTGTCTGCCTCTATGAAATAACATAAAGCTCTGTCCTGAGGAGTCTTCTGCTAGGCTTTAGTGCATTAAATGGAAGCATCCTCCATTAGCCTTAAAGCAACTCCCTTCTGTAGTTACCAGGATACAAGATTTCTGTGTAAAAAAACACAGCTGACTCAATGTGTTTGCTTTTATAAACTACTCACTGACAGCAGTGTGATACTGTTATTTCTTACTGTTCAGATAGATGCCCCTAACAGTTCCATGGAAACAAGACACTAACCTCACTGAACAGTAATAGTGCTAATACACACAATGGAATTAATGAGCTGGAAAGAGCATATTGGCCATCCCCTGCAAAAGGAAAAGCTTGAATAGCCCTGGTCAGAGAGAGCCCCCAGATCACCCAGGCCCATATCCAACATGGTACACTAGTACCAAAAACAGAACAGAAGCCTTATACACATCATGCAGTGCTCCCAGTAAATCTCCAGGGGAGAAAAAGCACAATGAAAATGAATCAAACCTGTAGTTCTTCACATTTGTGAGTGTTATGAGCTATACTTTGCACAGATGTTACACATGTAGGGTTTCAGGCTCTTTTGCCTTGTCTAGCTACCCTTCCAATTTAGACTGCAGATTTTGTATGTCTTGAGTACTGCTACAGTTCTCTTATTCATGTCCATAGAAATCTTCTGCCCCAGGCTTTCTCCACAGCTGCGTGGCTAAAAGGATTTCAGCCTCCAATCCTACCCTCTCCCCTAATGCAGGGCTGCCAACAGCAGCTGCACCTTGCTGTGAACCAAGGCGTGCACTGAAACAGGAGATGGCTCTTTGTTGTTGGCTGCAAAAAGATAGTGAGGCTTTGTTTGTTTGTTTCAGAGAGCACCACTTCCAAGAGCTCACACACCACCAGTGGCCCCAGTCTACAAACCAGCAACACAACTGGGTTACATAATGCCAGGGAACCATTGGGAACTAAGCCCTGGAACAAAGACTGTGCAAAACAAACGAGTTGCACCTGCATCACACATGTAGCAACTTAAGGCCAGTCAGACCTGCCACCCAAACCAACCAACTGCATGACAACCACAGCAGATACAATAGAGCAGTACTGGAGCCACCTGCACACACAGTTTACCAGCTGACCTACAGTAACCACTCTTCTGATGCCCAGGAGCCATGTCTCATGCTTTTGTAAACCTTAGTGCTGCCTGACACAACGTGGGCCTTCCTCAAACAGGCAGCTTGATGGATTCATGAAGATGGCACTAACATTTTATTTCAGAACAGGATGAACTTGAGCAGCTATTTACCTTCCATTTTGTGAAGAGGTCAGCAAGGAAACCATTCACAGCTTTCTCAAAGTACAAGTCCCCTGCAAAGTAATCACACCCAAACATCAAACAATAGCAACTACTTCAATTACAGGCTGTATTTTACACTGAGATTCTAGGAGTTATTTTTTATTAGGATCAGAGCAATTTGCTCTGTGCACACTGAATGCTAACAGTACAAAAGAGGGCATAAAAAAAAGATTTAAAAGCAGGATTACGTTTCAGACGATTTAAACAAAACTGTTGTACTGTCACATGGATCTGACCTTTACATTCGTTCTTCCAACACATTTACAACATGCTGGGAAAGCATCTGTACTATCTTTTAGAAATAGCATTCACAACTGATCCCCTGCTCTGCTTTGGAAAGCTGCCCAGCTACATATGCCTAAGCACATGGTCAAAGGAAGGGGTAAGAAAGCTGCTAAAGAACTAAGGCAGAAAAAACAATAGGGCAATGACAGAGCTAAGAAACTCATTCTAACCTCTCGAATTTTTAATACTTCTAGCAACCTTCCCCTGAGCTAAAGGCAGAGCTCTCCCATCCAGCCACTGTCAAGAGAAATCTGTAATATCGAGACACTCTTTGCTTGGGTCTTCCATTCATTTCTGCTTTCAGGGTTCCAAGCCCTCATCACCAAACGTTTGCAACACAGAAAAACCTTTGCAAGCTTCATATTCAAGCTGGTCCCCTTGAATTAGTTGCTGAGATAATGACAGCCAGGCACTACAGTAACAACAGGAAAATTATGGGGCACTCAGGAGAAAGAAAGTGTGGCACTGTGAATAAGGCTCTAAGAGAACAGCACAGCATACCTCAGAGCAATGCCTACACCAAAGGTGGGATATTTTAGTTTTCTACAAGTGGTAGAAAGGTATCATAGTGGCTGTTTTCTAGTAGCAGCAGAAAGGACAGCTGCAGTCCTGCACACTCAGAACCAGGCAAGCCAGTTAACCACGTACCATAGATATCAAAATCCCACATTTCACAGCTCATCTGGATGAAAATATAAACCATGGCAGAAGTGGAGCGGAAGACCACCTGCAGGGGAATTAAACATCTTTCAAACAAGGTACATTCACAACAAGTGCCAAACGTGGAAGTTAACTACCAAGTAAGTGACATGACTGGGCCCACTGCACTGTGAGGAATTCCCCCTCCAAGGGAAGAGCAATCAGTGAAGAACAGTTGAACTTCACTGATCACTCATTCTCCTTAATTTGCTGCCATTTTTCAACTCGCTACACAAGCAGCTCATGTGATCCACACCATCTGTCAGTAAGACAGAATTAACAAAAAGCTAGCAAGGGAAAAGACTTCCTTTTCTTTACTCCCCAAAATCTTACCCGTGTGTCCTCACTGATGTATCCACAAGTGACTTTCTCACTCTTAACCCACAGTTCACCTGCTTGTGCCCTGGAAGAAAAAAAGCGCACAGTATTTATTAGAGAGAATATGAAGATCACAGAATCAACATTTTCCTAGCAGTGTATATTTCTCACCAATAGCTGGAAATGCTACAAACACAGCTAAGCTCAAAGCACTTCTCTTCACACTTGGCTCTGAGGGCAGAGATTTCTGTGTTGCTCTCTAATTTTCCCATATCCAAGACTAAATGAACATAACACACTGACCTGATACCTGCAAATTCCACCTTCTGGGTGACATATGCACAGGTGCTGACCTACGAAAGAACAGTTACAGGTGTTAACAGAACAGTGGGCTTAGAAAGAGCAGACAGATTAGCATAGAAAACAAACAAGCAAACAAAGCGCTCGAGCACCAGACTTGGGCCATAAAAGCATGAAAACCAGAACCTCCCAAATGCAGCACGGAAAACAGTTTTTAACAGGAGCTGATATTGACTGGGCTCTTCTCTCTAATTCACTGTTCCTACAGGAGTTCAAAACTGTGCTTCAGAGATGCAGGAACAAAAAAATAATTTAAAAAAATCTGATAGTTAGTGATTAGCAGTGCTATCAGAGAGAGAACACTGCAGCATTTCTGTTTGAAAGACATTTGGATTCAATTCCTTCCTGAGGTAGTAAATCATTAAAATTCAGAACGTGGGAAAAAAACCACTAAGCAGCATTCAGTACCCAAAGCAGTAACTAACATTACTGCAACAGAGTAGGAAATGATGGGAATGTCATTTTTTTCCTTGTTATTTACATACACTTCTCCAACACTAAGGTACCGCTTAAAGCTGAAGTTCCACAGGAGCTGCTGACACTGATCTTCTTCTCTCTCTGTAAAAAGCTTATTTTCTTCTACAGTCAGCAAAGAAAAAGGTCTGTAATATTCTCAAAATCACCTCCACCCTACAACGAGGGCAGCATGGGCCTTACCAAGCTTTTCTTCAGTCGCCACATATCCCCACGGCCAATATACTGATCTTTAAAAGTCAGTTCCACCAAGTCCAAGGTCACTTCCTGGGAAATAGAAGAAAAACACTGATTAGATTTTATTGGTTGTTCTCAACACAGCACCTTTCTGTTCTGCTAAGAGCCAAATGTTGCATCGAGGGCTGTTCTAAGCAAGTCAATACTGCCAACAGCTGCAAGACAAAGAGGAAATCCCATCTGAACAGCCGCCAAAGTTGTGCATGTACCTGAAACTGCATCACAGAAGAAGACCCAGGACTATCTGTGCTACAACTCTCAGATCAAACCAAAAGCACAAAAAACAAATTCCACTGCTCATAGCATTAAGGAAACCCAGTTCCTGCATATGTTTTGTCATGTATTGAACAACAACTCCAACTGAAGCTCTTCATACAGTTGGACATTTACAAGAGATGCTTCTTTTACAAGGTACTCTAATATCAAATAATGCAAATCCATGGCTTTTCTTTGGACCAGGGCACTTATGAGTTTCTCTTCCCTCTGCTGAGTTATCCTGAATTACTGGAAGGAAAATGTAATTGAAATGTCTAAATTCCTATTAACCAGGTCCAAAAACTTCAAAAGGAATGCTGAAATAGTGGGGAGAGAAGAAAGGGACCCATACAAACACACAAACAGTGCAAGAGCCCAAGCCGCACTTTCTTCAGAAAGATGGATAAAGATGCTTCCATTAAAAATTAAAAAAAGCCTTTTTTCCCCCAACACCACTATGAATGGAAGTTTACAGAGCCCCAGTATGAGCTAACAGATGGAAAAAAACTGCCAAGCCACACACCTTTGGGTCAACAACATTCACATGGACATCCTGGTACGGCCGCAGTCGGAAAACCTGTGCAACAGTCTGATCCACACTTATTGTTTCTGCCACAGCAAGGAGAAAGGACAGAGAACACAACCAGAAGGTGTCAGGCATTTACAGATACAAAAGCAATACAATGAGGTCGTCATGAAACACTTAGGACCTCAGCTAAAGACAGAAACTTCTTTCAATTATTGCCCAAATTAAGACTCATTAAAATCAAAGCAATGGGGATGACACAAAGTTCAGCATGAATTCATTAATGCCAGAAAAATGCAAATAGAGAAGACATCCAGTCAGAGAGTGCAGATACAAAAATTTAAGTTTGTTGGGTTTTTTCCCCTCCAAACTTTACTCAACATTACTGAACCAAAAGCAGATTTAAAATTTGGCTATCCATTTCCTGATGGAAATGATCATCCTCTCATCCTGGATAAACAAAGCACTCAGCTTCTTTAAAAGTTACATTAAATATCTGCATTACTCAACTAAAGTCCAACCACACAATCTTTGTCTATGATTTTACTGTGCACTTCACAAGTCTAGGGTTTTACCTTTCTGCAAGTCTTCCTTCAGTGATTTCACTTGCAGGAGCAGAGGGCTGTAGCATGCAAGGAAGAAAAAAGGCAGACAAGTTGAGGTACCAAGAGTGTACTCCAGTTAAACCTATGTCAAATCTATTCGGGATCACAGAGAACAGAATAAGCTGAACAAAAACGTTATCCTTTTCCAGAAGGTTTCAATACACCATCCTCTCTGCTTGCGACCCCATGCTGTTCTTTATACCCATTACAACTATAAGGTACTATGAGGTACTTTTTAGGTAAAGATGACACTCTAACCGGGAAACAAAGTCATACAAGATCATCTCAGAATCTAACACAGCTATGCTCCTGCTTTTTTAGTATATGCTGTAGGATGAGCCTTCAGACTGCAGGTTTATGTTTTTATAGCAAACCAAGAAGTTTGAGTTCTTCCTTGGAGATGCTACAGATAGAAGAATAACTGCTAGCTAATGACAGCTCTGTAAAGAGAAAGACATCACTGACCTTGCCCAGTGAAACACCAAGCACGAAGGATTACATGCACTTTGCTTTGAGCAAGAGCTCCTGCTACAGATTATTTCTCTTTTATTGAGAAAAAAAACACGGCAGATGCTGAAGCAAAGCCTCTCAGCATAGAACCTGCTGCACTTCAACACATCCTTTCATTGCTCTAACCACACTTGACTTATCAGCAAAAGGAGAATTCACCTGTATTCATCATTTGGATGTGCAATTTCCACGACATCTCCCAGCTTGATTTGAAGAAATACTTTAGGATTCACCACCAGTTCATCATCTGCAAAACATAAGCAAATGAGGAATGTGACAACGAACAAATACACACCAAACACAGACACTCACACTGGGATTAACACATCACTGATGTACCACATTCACTACAAAACAACACCCCTACAGCCATTTTGGTCTGGACAATCTTGTGAGCAAAAGCTTTTCTTTCAAATCAAAGGACTTTTATGGAAGAGTTGCTCAGCAAGAGAGCATGCCTTCACTACACAAGTATAATCTTCTTTTGTATTTTACATGTAAAGAGTACCAGCAGGAATTCAGGTATCCACAGAATCTTGCTAATAAACTTCAGTACAATGCAGTGATTTTAAGCCTACAACTAGAAAGTAGGCAATTAAACAGTATTGAGTTCACAAAACCACATATTTTGTTCCTACACCTGTCTACATGCAGCAGTAACTCACTGGCATGTCTGTCACTCTTTGTTAAGAAAGGACCAAGGTACAAGTTAAAGAAAAAGTAAGAAAACAAAAGGAAAAGAAGTAGAATGAAGGAATTGTATTTTACAATTGGAATTCTATTCTGTTCTGAAAAATAAACCTGATTTTATTCTGTTGCATCTTACTGTTAGAACCAATCATTCCACACTGCAGCAGGTAGCACTGCCTCCACTGCTTTGTTAAAAGAGCAATACACATCTCAGAGCTTTCAATAACAGTAAGTGTGGGTCAAACTGATGCAAAGTGAGACACTGACCGCTGCCTCCAAAGCCCTTCTTGTGTATGACCAGCTTGTACACCTTGTTGGTTCTCATCTTGAGCTCCTGTCCTTCTCAGTTACTTCGAGTGAAAAGGGCGGAGGACATCCTGCACATCTGCAGCAGAAACAAAAGCAAAAACAGGTCTCAGCACAGCTGTTCTTCAGTGACTCTGACAGCAGCGTCTGTACTGAAGTTTAACCTTCTCTATGTCAGGAAGAAGCCCAGCGCTGCAGGCAGGCAGGCAGGGAGGGAGCACCCAGACCCACCAGAGCCACACAGCGCCGTCCCTCACGGCTTTGCACCGCCAACAACCCGTTCCTCTGCTCTCACCCGCACCACGCGCTATTTCAGCGCACGATCTTCACAGCGTACTTTTTCAGAAGCGTGCTTCAAACCAAACCCACCACTGACAAGTTTCTCTCCACATCGGTTACAGACACGTCACCAGAACACACGCTTTTCGCCTCACAACACCCACCCTTAGAGCTGCGCTCCCACACCAACGCTTCCCCCACAGGTGCCGAAGCGCGGGATGCAGCGCCCGCTCCCCCCGACCCGCTCTTGTCAGCCGCTGCCGGGCTCCTCAGGGCCGCAGACGGGACATTAGGAGCGCTGAGGCCTCGCCCGCCACTCTCACAGCCCACCCGGCCCAGAACCCCGAGACTGAAGGAGAAACGCGACTCAATGCCGCGAGCCAAAGCCTGAGGGACGGCGCTAAGGGGCGCGAGCCGAGCTCAGACGCTAACCTCCCGCCAGCAACCGGGCGGAAGCGGCGCCGCCAAAAACCACTTCCGCATCCGGGTTCCGGCCCTCGCGTCACGTGATGCCCGCCACCGAGCGGCGGAGTGGGCGGGGCTCCGGGGCAGGGGAGGGGCGGGGGCGGGGCCATCGTAACGGCCGTACCGCGCGAGGGAGGGGGCGGCGGGCCCGGATGAGGAAGTGATGTGAGCGGGCCGTGGAGCGGCGAGGAGCGGGGCGGCCGCGGGTAACGGCGGCGGGACGCGGCGGGACGGGCGGTGGTCGTGCTTCGCCGGGTGGGGCCACCTTGTCCCGCTGCGCGGGGCTGCAGAGGCCTGGGAGGCGCCGGGCCGCGCGTCGAACAAAGCCGCGTCCGGAGCGTGCCGTGCGGCTGCCGCGGCTCCGGGAGCGTCGGGTCGGGCCCTCGCTGCTGGGGGCGGCCCGGTGCCGGCGGTGCGTCGCGTCACGTCCCGCCGCGGTGCGGGGCTCTGGGCGGAGCGCCTCTGAGGGTTGGAAGAGCCGCGGGATTGCGGCTTTGCGACAGCTGAAAGCTTCGAAAAGTGACAGGAGGGAAAAGGTCGCTTCGGGTTAGCCGGGAAGTAGAGCGTGCTGCGAGCGCCAGGTGCGCTGCGGCGCTTTCGGGGTTCCCTGGCAGTTGGAGCTGTAGAAGCGTGGCTCGGCAGTGCTGGTCTCTGTTAACGAAGCTTTGGCCTGGGTGCTCTAATAGCTCTCAGTCCCCTGAAGTTACAGGGTCACGGAGCCGTGGTGGTGTTGGATCGGAGGGCATCTTACAGCCCCAAGCCCTGCCGGGTGCTGCTGCCCCCAGGTCGGGCTGCCCGTGGCCTCAGGCACCTCCAGGGATGGGGCACCCACAGCTCTTCTTTTCCAGGGTCTCACCTCCCTGTGAGTGAAGAATTTTCACCTAATATCCAACCTAAATCTCCTCTCGTAGTTTAAAGCTCTTCTCCCTTGTCCTGTCGCTGTCAGATGGAGTAAAAAGTCGGTCCTCCTGTTTATAAGCGCCTATCGAGTACTGAAAGGCACTGCAGTAAAGTCCCCCTGGAGCCTTCTCTTCTCCAAGCTAAACAAGCTTCAACAGCATTTCTCCATAGGAAGGGTGCTCCAGCTCTGAGCATCTTTGAATCTTGAACAGTAAAGCTTTCGTTTCTGAGATTACTCCTATCTTTGTTGATTTAAAGTTGCTTTTATTTTTAGGGTAAACTGTGAAAGACAGTGGGCCTCCAGCTGCCCCCATGCTCTCATCTGGGGTGGAATGTCTCCTTGACTCCTCTGCCTGTACTGGCACTGAGGACCTTCACGAGGGGCTCAGCATCCCTGCTGGCCTTATGGCTGTGTCTGAGCCCGGTGCTGGATTAGATGCAGAGCCTGATGTGTCCACACCTGAGCTGGCCCACAGTAGTGAGCCGTCATCAGAGCACCACAGGACTTTGGAGGAAAAAGGCTTTGGTGAGGAAGCAGTGCATGTGGATGATGTGGTCAGAGAGGCTCATTGGGAGCAAGCAGAACCGCTTACCAAAGAATTACTACACAATGGAGGTGCTGAAAAGGATGAAGAAAACAAACAAACTCGCTGGAAACAAGACTGTTCTAGTGGAGAATACCAGCAAGGAGATAAAGAGGCACAAGATGCTGAAGAGGGCCGTGCTGAATGCTGTGCTCTAAAACCTGGGGAAAAATGGTTAAAACAAGTAAGCAAATTAGGAAAAAAAAACGTATCTGTGTGATATTTGGAAATTAAGGTTGGCACAACAACACACAGGATTTTGTCCATGTGATTTTCTACTTATTTGTGACTTCAGTCACGTGTGTCCTTAGAGAGATTATCATAGGTCCAGTGAAAAACTGATTATATTTGAGTAGACCAGTGGTGTTTTAAAAAAATCAAGGTTTTTTTAAGTACCACTGGAATGGTAAGAAAGCAGGTATGTAACAGAGAAAAGACTAAAGCTGACCGATGGCTAAAAAGGAGAAAGAAACAACTGAGAAAGCTCTTATGCCAATATCTGTGTTCTGTGGATATAGCACATTTTACAACTATGATCTGTAGTCAAAGTACTAACTGCTAAGTAACAGCTATTTCAGTCTGGTAACTATTTTAATGCTACAGGAGACTTCAGCCTAGCATTTCAGTTTTACTCTGAAAATGAAGATTCTTCTTCATTTTTGGAATTATAATTTGTAACAGAGTAAGAGTTAGTGAACTGTTAGTGTTCCCTTTCAAATAAGGAGCTCACAAGGTCGTGGTTTATTTTTTCCTCCTCTCTAGCAAAGGCTGATGATAAAAATGTTGTTTTAGGCAAAGATATGCTGAAAAATGTGCCAAATAGTTTACCATCAACTGAAGGGTTGCAAAACTCTTTATTAAAAAGTCAAGATTTTTTTTTAGTTCCTGTTGATCATTTTTCTGAAGTTCGTAAACAGGGTTTTTATATATAGAAGAACAGGGGAGGGGGAAAAAAAATGTATGCTGACTGAACATACACCAGCCTATCTGGATAAGTTGCATGGTTTACAATGTTGCAGAATAGCAAAATATTTTGTCATTTCAAATATATCTATTTTCCTTTTTGATATGTTTGATTTATTTGAAGAGTTGTGAAAATAATTAGTTTTTCCATAGTCGTGTTTCCAACATGAACTCTCATGTACTTCAAATATTGAGATGGTTTATTGGATTGGGTTGAGATTTTTTTGTGTGTGTGTTTGTTTTTTTTCCAGAACCTAAGTCACTTGTTCTGGATACATGTGGTTTTGAGCCAAGGGAGGGAATGGTAGAAGGCAAGTTCTAGCACATTACAGGAAAGACATGCATCTTACCAAAAGCATACAGTAACAGCCTGGGAAGGCTTGGAGACTGGATTATTCCTCTGATTCATATTTGCAACAATTTCCATTTAAACTACCTACATTTTAGCTGCTTGTATGGGAATACTTTTCTGCTGCTGAATACAACAGCACTTTACAATGCTAAATATGTCTTTTGTATGAATCACTGTTCAGTGCTGAGCTGCTGTTGATTGATAGGGCCAGAAAGGAATGGCAAGTGCCCGTAGAAGGCCTTACATGTTCTGAGGTTTGTCCTTCTCAGACAGAGCTAACCTAGGTGAGCAGGTACAGTCCCTGAAACGTTTCAGAAAATTGATCGATATCCACTTCTATTTTTGTCATGTTCCAGGAGGATCCTCACCTAAACAAGCACAAGGTGAATTCTTCAGCTAGCTGTCGTGCAAAAGGTGCGTATTTGTGGTGTGTTGTGTGTGTTGTGTGCCCCTGCTTTTCTCTCAGATTCCTTTTTGTTGATTTAAAATTGTAAGATGGCTCACTGAATTTGTTCTACAGTAGAAACTACTACTCTGCATTGTTCAAACAATATGAAGGTTTCATCCTTCACTTTTTTACAATAGCCTGTATACTCTTCTAAAGACTTTTTACAGAAAAGATGTGTTTTAGTTATTTTGCTGGAATACCTACCCAAACCAGAAGCTCTTGTTGGTAGCAGACGTTTTGCATTTCCTTATTCTTCAGAGCTGGCTTACATAACAGTGGTAATAACAAAGATGTAAAAATATGACTCATCCATTTTCTAATTTTTAGAAAACAACAAGTCCAGAATTCAAAGGAAGAATATAGTAAAACTCATCCTTAGTTTCATTATGAGCTGTAATTTTTCTGGCTCCAAATGATTTTGTCACTTGGCCTACAGCTAGTAATTATTATTTTTTTTTTCTCTCTCATGCCTTGTTGTTGATGAGGAAATCATAGAATCATAGAATTGTTTGAGTTGGAAGGGACTCCTAAAGGTCATCCTGTCCAACTTCCCTGTCTTAATTTGCTGTAATATTACTTTTTAATAATACCATTTGGTCTTGATCCTTAGTTGGAAGTATGAAAATGATGTGCAGAAATATGAGTGCATATGTAAAGTTTTGAATATAAGGATATTGAACAACAACTTTCAGTTATGAACTTTGTCATTCTCTTCATGACTTTACAAAAATGTTTATTAACAATCCAAATTGTTTGGACAGAATGAGATATAGGTTGTCCTCCTGTAGATTCCTTATGACAAAAAATATCTTCAAGGAAGAAGAAATGGAAATGGCAACTCAATGCCATGTTTCTAGAATACGGGAGATAAAGTACCCAGCTTTGATGTAACAAATAAATACTATGATGGACCAAGACTTCAAATGTATTGAGTTACACAACCTGTATTGCTTCTGGTTCATTATCAGAGGAATCTGAAAAATACAGGATATCTGCTGCTCACATGGAATGTCTTTACTAAAAAGGACTACATTTGTTACATTAGGTTTGTGATGGAGTTGTTTGCTTTTTTTAAATGATTTGTATTAGAACTGCTAGCTTCAATTCTCACTTCTTCAAAAGCTTTGATAACCAAGACAGACTATACACAATAGTGTGTATATCATCAAGAGAAAAATAGTAAGCTAAATGCCTTCCAAATGCGTTGTATAGTACTGATTTGCTTTATTTTTCTTGTGCAGGAGAAAACCAAGCAAATGTTCAGGTGACAGCTGAAACTCTCCCAAAGCTTACTGAAGAAGCACAAGGTATGAAGGCTGATGGGACTAGAATATTTAGTAAAGCAGGATACCAGAATGGCAGTGTGAGTAAAGGTCTTCTACCTGAGAGCGATGAATGCTCAAATATAGACACGGTCATGGCTAGAGCTGAGGTTTCAGAAACCACCAGGCTAGATTTCATAGAGCCTTTAAAAGTTACGGACGTTGAATCAACAACAGAACACTCACAAGAAATAAGTGAATATAATGAGTTGAAAGCCCATGCTGACATCTCATTGAGAACAGGGAGCAATGTGGTATCTATTTTGGAGACTACAGAAGAAAAGTTGCCTAGACAAAATCTCGTTAATGAATTCAATACATCACTTGATAATTGTCACACTTATCATCACAATGAAGAAAACAATACTTGTGACCTCTGTACCGTTTTTCCACGTAGACATAATGAACCTGTTAGGTTATCATCTGTAGGAAGTTGTAGAATGCTCTCCATAAAAAGTTCTGAAGTTATGTGTTCAGTTCTGGAAAGCGTCTGTTATCTGGACTTTAGAAATGTGTCACTAGACAACAACAGTACTGCAATCCATGGAATTATCAATGAAACCTCAAAAAAGCATCTTCCTGAAAGCACGACAAGTCAGACTACTTATGATCACAGAACTGGATTTGTAAAGAACTGCACCTCCAAGTCCATGCCAGTAGAACATCTCTCACTGCTAAGTAAGAAAGAATTATCTAGTGATAAAACTGGTGATGGGGAAACAAATGACAGTACAAGTAAATCATACATCTCTGAATTTGAAGAGGCTGCTGAAATCCAGAGAGAAATTGCTGTGGGGGGTAACATTGAAGCTCGAGAGAGTGCTGATGTTGAGCACTGTCATCCTTCAGTTTTCAATTCTATTGCTCCATCTTCTGAGGAGTTCTCAAAAGAAAAATTAGAAACAATTTCGTCAAAAGCCAGTAAGTGGAAAAAGGACCAGTTGCAATTTTCTGTAAGTGATCTGTGCAAGGACGATTTAAAAGAAAGTGTTCTGTTGAAGGAAACAAATAGCACTGCTTCCCATGAAACTGTACAGACAGATGTAGGCATTTATAAGGCCTACAGTAAAATTTCTTTTCCCACTAGGCATGACTGTCAGGATCTTTCTGCCAAGCTAGAAGATGATTCACCTGAGGTACAACTGTTTGAGCAGGAATCCCAGAGTAATACATTAGAGTTTTCTGACAAAGAAACTAATTTGATTTATACACTAAATGTAATTCTACCTCCTCTTGCACAAAAATCAAGAGAGCCTCACTGTGATGAGTGTCCGTTTTGTACTGCTAATGAAGCTGCAAGCAAGGACAAGGTTCAGGATAATCTATCTGGAAAAGAATCGTTTGGTTCTTCTGGGACAACAGAAGAACAAGTTGCTGAATTTGTGCTGCATAAAGACAAATTCACGTCCTCAATAAATCCCAAGACTTCTGATGAATCCAGTATGACAGGCAACATTTCCCAGAAGAACAAGAAGTCTTCAGAAGGGAAGGTAGAGAGTGTAGAAAGTGAACATAGCAACACGTGGAAATGTAGTAATCAGACTTTAAAAGACCAGCATACAGCTTCCACTACTTCCAGTATCTTAACAAGTAGTACACCTGTAGGTGATGCTGTCCTGAACAGTAATTTTTTTAAGGCTGATATTGAGATGAAGATTGAAAATGATAGTTTGGAAGGAGATGTTTCAGTTGGATGTAATAGTAAAAAGACAATCACTTTTCTGGAAGAATGCTGCCCTTTGTCATGTAGATCTCTTCCCTGTCAAGATGACTGGGGCAATAGATGCGTAGCTCTGCATGGGATAAATGATATTTCCACAGAAAAAAGCATGTTTTGCCTAACTTATGATGCAGAGGAACCTCCTGCTATCTTATTAGGAGATGAGATTTCAAATAAGAATGTGAATAAGAATATGAAATCTGAAAATGTGAAACAATTTGATCTTTGTAAATTAACAGATTGCAGTGAAATTATTTGTGACAAAGATGAGGCAGAAAAACAATTTAGTATGTGTGCTGTCCATACCCATGAATTTGATAAAATAAGAACTGTGAGTTCTCCAAAAGTTCCTGAAGGGAATTGGAGAAGTGAGACTGGTAAACAGCTATTAGTCAGAAATTTGAACAAAAAAAATTGTGTTCATAATTTTGAATTTCGCAACTCTCCATTACTTCTGAAGATGAGAGAACTAGGCACATCTGGGAAGAAAGGAATGTCATCACTCACAGCTAGTTCTGAGTACAGCTTTTCTATCTGTGGTGCATGTCCGCTGCTCAACAATATGAATATGCAAACAAGACATGCTATCCAAACAGAAATGACCGTTTCTCCAATGGAAAATCAGTTTCTTGCACATCAGAGTGAGTTCTATGGCCTGGTTCATGGCAGAAAGCAACATGTAGAAAGCTTAAACAAAGAACCAAATACTGGTTTACAGTATATTGCTACTTCTGCAGAAGAAGCTAAACTGTCAATCAGCTCTAGCCAACATGAACAGATACTGTTAAAAAAAGGTGATGATCTGACTCTGTTAGGTCATAAACATGTAAGAGAAGATGGTTTTCAAAGAACTTTAGAAGAGAATGCAGTGGATTTTGAGTCTTCAAGTGGTTTAACAAATGCAGACTACTCAAGATGCATCGGTTTTGTCAGTGATGTAATTCAAGAGAAGATGACAGAAGTAAAAGAAAGTGAGAACGGCTGTGGAAGAGCAGATAAAGGAACTCATGAAGAAAGCCTTCCTGATAGCAAATCACAGTATTCACAGCATGCTTTGTCCATCAAATCTGTGAAAGACAAAGTAGAGCTAGTAATCTCAAGAAATGCAAGGAAGCGATCCATGGCAAAGATGAAGTGGTTAACTGGGGACCAAGCAGTTAATGTCTCATTTTTGCCCTCCTCATCAATTCATGGGAGTCTGTTTTATAAGCCAGAAATGTGTGTACCTTCAGAGATGGAAAACAAAAATCTGAAAATAAAATCTGTCTCAAATAATTCTTGCTCACAGTTAATGTTGGAGCCTGGTAAAGAAAATGATGCTAACAAGGGCGTGGGTCCATCTTGTTTTGTGAAGTTTAACATCCAGGATTCCTCTAATGAGACTCATGAGGATTCAGAAACACCATCAGCTCCAAACTTAGCTAACTCTTTGCCTCAGAAAGAAAAGCTATTTGTGTCATCTGAGAATACAGACATAGGTAATAGCGATTCATCTTCAGATGAAATTTGTTGGAAAGGTTCTTCAGTGACAAAACCTTTTTCTGTAACAATGTACATTAAGAGAGAGGCCAGCAATACTGAAATACCATCTTTAGAGGATGAAAAGGCAGCTAGCTCTCTGAAAAGTGCAAGAAGTTTCAGTGTTTGTGTATGCAACAAAGAAAAGCAGAGAGATGAGAGGCTGACTGCAAAAGTCATGGATGTGACCTTACCAAAAAGTGCTGATTTTGGAGAGAAGTTGAAGAATGCATGTACAGAAGAGAAAATGGAAAGAGAAGTGTCTCATAAAAAAAAGTTGCCCGTACATTCCTTACTTGATGGAGAAGATTGCTTATGGGCCTCAATAGAAGGTTTAAAAGAGTCTAGTAGCAAAACAATTACTCTAAGTACAGAGAACTATGAAAAAGGTTTTGAAGAAATCCCAAGACCTGACCTAAACAGTCTTTCAAAGGAAAGGAACGCTACAAAGCTTACAAGCTCCACTGATACCAGTTTACTATCAGAAGCTGTGCAAGACTGTCAAACTGCAGATGCATCTGATACAGAAACTTCACCAGAATTCAAATATAATGAAATGAACGTGCTATCAAATGGTTGTAAAGAATCATTACCAAATTATGCAGTTCAGTGTGAAGTATGTGTGCCTTACAAATTAAATGCACAAAGCAAAGATAATGCAAAGGAAATTACAGGATGTCAAGACTCTGTAGCAGCTCATTCAGTTTCCGTGGAAAATGAGACTTCAAATTCTGTGAGACGTGATAAAGTAGAGAAATGTCAGGCACGTAAACGAAAGAAAAAGTGTGAGGGGGTGAAAGTGCATGGGTCAGACAAAGCAAAACAAGAAAAAAAGGCAGCGTACAAAGTGAAATCAAAAGTTGCAGTGCATCCAAGCGTATTGTACAGTTCTGAACTTTTATGCAGTTCTTCAAATGAGTTGGTGATGTCAAGAAATACAAAGTTTGAAAGTCCTTCAAAGGAAGCTTTTGCTGTGAGAAGCAGTGAAAATAAACTGTGTAGCACTTTACAAGAAATCAAAAGGCCAAAGATTACCACTGATACTATTAGTTCATGTTTTTTAAAGACTCAGGATTCAGAAATGGAAAACCTGAACCTTAAGGCAGGTTATAATGGAATTCTTGGTGCCTTTGGAACTAGAAATAAACTAAGAGGACCTCTCCCATTGAAAATACAGCCTGGAAGAACATGCAAAAAAGTTCCCACGTCATATCAACTAGAAACTGTAAGAAAAATAAAAAAATCTAAAAGTTCAACTGTTTTGGAGCCTCCCTCAGAAATGCCCCCTAAACAGGAAAACACAGTCCTCAAATCTTTGTACTTTGCCTCTAAATCACCAACGGTGAAGAAGGAAATAGCCATGGGATTTGTCCATATGCCGAGGCAGAAAGCCAAGAGGTGCAGTTTGCTGAGCAGCTTGAAATTCAGAAAATGTACCAAAGAACCAGCATTGCTGAGCAAGCTGTCTGCATTAGCCAGCAAATTACTGGTACCTGCCACAAGCATCCATAGCTTGGAATCCCTGCCGTATTCTTCTGAAATTCTTCCAGCGGCTGCAAGGCACAGGCAGCGTAGATCTAAAAATCTATTGGAAGCTTTCTCTTGCATTAACAGGAACTTACACTCACGCTGGGCTGACAGTTGGTGTACCAAGATGTTCAGCTTTCAATCTTTGGCACTTTATTCAGTGAGATCTACCAAAATACCTTCTTTAGATTCGAGCAACAATTCTCCGTCTTCTTTCTTGGATACCCCAGTGTTCCCTATTTCTTTTCACATAAAATTAGACTCCAGTCCTGTGACAGACCTCACATGGACTACATCTCAGCATTCTGTACATCATAAACTAGTTTTGGAAGAAATGCCTGCACCACCTTCCACGTGGACTTTCCTCCTTTCTCAGAGCTGTTCAGGTGCAGCAGCAATCAAAGAAGATTCCAGTCAAGATCACAAGCTGCGTTCCCCTCTCTCTGTAACAACCCCAGGGGTTGTTGCACTTCATCCTGACCATGGAAGAAATGCCATAGCTGAAAGAACAGGAAGTTGCTCCATGCTTGGCCTTCATACAGTGTTAGCACTTTCTTCTCCTGGATGTTACAGGATTTGGACAAGAAGAAGAAACTTAACCAGTCATATTCCTACCATCCAGAGACTATTTATATCCCAATTTACCCAGGGTTTGAAAGGGGGATCTAATGTACCAGATGACCTGGTCTCTTCCCTGCCGTACTCCTTGGGCAGGGCACTATCCATGTGGAGTCAGCATGGTCCTTCTGCCTGTCCCTCCGAAATCACTCCTCTTCATTCCAGTCACTGCAAGTGGCAGCCAAGTGTGGGCATCGAGAACAGGTAAAACTCATCAACTTATTTCTGAGAATAAATATGCGTAGGGTATGCTCTTGCTTCTTTTTTGGGGAAGTGAGGGTGATAAAAGCTTGTGTTGCAGGATCAGTTTCCTCCATTTCAAATCTAGGTGTTCTGCTCCAAAAATGGCTTATTGTGGAAGATTCTTACCAACAGAACAGTCTGTTAGCTGAATTTAAATATATTTGCCTTTGCTTCTTTAATGCTGTCCTCTTTTGGCAGAATGGCTAACTCTATTTTCTTCTCCCATGCAAAATAAACACACCATGCATCAGAATATATAATGCAGAAAGGTGAGCTACTTCATTAGGTCTATTCAGAGTGACTGCAGAACAACTGGATTTCTGAGGTAGGAGAGTTTTTTTCAGAGGTCTGAAAAAGTTCAAGTTTCACTTGAACCACTGTAAAATATTCAATATCAGATTAGGAAGAATCCTAATTGGGGCGGGGAGGGAATTCAGTTAAATCTATAATTGCATTCCATGACTATTCTGTGCTAATTGAAAGCTCTTTATGTGTACTGTGCCTTTTGACTGTGTGTGCCAGATGTACTGAATTGTTGGCACATGCAACCCTAGTTCCATTTCAGGCTGGTAAGGAATTTTGCTATGTCTGTCCTTCTCAAGTGGGAAGAGCACTGATGTCTACTTTGCATATTTCACTTCATTTTCCTACCTGCATTTGAAATCTTTTTGCTGAGAAACAGAATAAAAGAAGAGGTTCCTAGTGGTGGTATGAGATTTTTGCAAGCTCTTGTGCAAACTTTTCACCTGTTACATCTCAGTTACTGCTGCCTGAGACACAGGACAGTTTAGTCCCCAATCTTGCAGTCTTGAGAATCCTGGACAGACTGTGAGCTCATAAATCTTGTTTCATTAAGTCTTGCATTTAATGTGGCAGTCTGAATTTGACTTATATATAATTAGTGCTACATTTTACTTTGTGTAAGTGGAGAAAATACCTATAAGTTTATTACTTGCTAGTATAAATTCTCACGTCTACTAGAAAGGTTTGAGTGAGAATATGAAATAACTGCTCAATTTTGTGAGTTCTTTGCACTAAAAGATAGAATTTGAATAGCGATAGAGACAATTTCACAGCATATTCTGTAAGACCTGGTTTCTTTTTTGCCCCACGAGGCAATATTTCAGGCTGAATTTTCTAATGTATAAATTAATGCTTTGGAAGTAACGCACCAGTAAGCACTACAGTTAGAGCACTTAGCTTAAAATAAGACACAGTTTGTTAGAGCACAACCAGTTAACTAAAAATGTAGGAGGATTTAACTCCTTGTCATAAAGGGTAAATTGAGAATGCCCAAAGTTGAAGTAGCATAAAGCTCAGTTTGTTTTTTCTTCTTAGATATATGAAAGGAATTGCTGTATCTGTTTGGGTGCACTTAATGCTTCCGGCCCATTTGGGCGTTCTTTGAAGTTAAATTATTGTAGTGAATTTAAGGCAATAAGTCTGAAAGAATGTTTCCAGAATTGTAAGGACGTGTAGAAAATGAATTCTATTTCTAAAATAATTGCACAAAAAATAGAATTATGGATTTGGATATAAAATAATTGAAAGAAAAAAAAACCTTTAAATATATTACACCATTTTAGATTCTGTTTTGCTGGAAATTGAAAGCTTGTTCTCATCAACTGATGATTCTTCTAAACATAGTAACAGAAGCAGTGGCAAAAGGATAATTCAGTAAATCTCTCCTAAATTTGTGCTTACTCAAAATCTCTATGATTACATAGAAATAAATACAGAAAATATAAATGTAAGAAATTCTGGCATAGAAATACAAAAATACAAGAAAGTGAATTTGGTGCAGCATAAAAGCATTTTCAGTGCAGCTGATTATTTTTCATTCTGTAGCATTCCAGTCTGGCTGCAATGTCTTTACGTCAGGACATTCAGTACGTTTAGCTGCTAGGTTGGAGGAGCAGCAAATACAAGATTTGCTGTTTGATGTAATAAAAGCTGTTCCAGTTCACTCCTTTTTTTTATTGCTTTTAATAGTGTGGACACAAAGTCAAGTTTAATGTTAAAGGACCTAAAGCTGATGTGCTGATTTTTATTTTTTTTTTTTAATTTTTTATTTTTTTACTCCACAGAAATGAGCAAACCTTATAGAAGGGCCTGTGGTTGTTCTGATTAAGTGTATTCCAGTGAGACTGTGGGAGTTAGAGACAGTGGAGAGGCAATTTAATGAAAATCCTTCCTTGCACTTTCTGCTGTTCCACCATTCACTTTTTTATTCAGTACAAAAATTATCCATGATTTTTGTTTCACTTTAAAAGTTCTTTTTTTAATAAGGAATTTAGACTTGCATAGCAGTAGTTCAAGCGTTAGCTCAAAAATTGTAATTATTTGTCTCCTTCTCTCTGTACTCTTTTCCTTTTCTTACCAGTACAATAATAAGTGGAAGTAGAACTATTTCCCTACCAAGCTATCAGTGAAATGTAGTTATTAGTGGGCTAAATGACAGATGTGGCTTGCTCTTGTATGATTCTAGTACTTCCTACCCTTCCCATTCCCAACACTAGCATTTTTTGTCTTACAGTTCAGATAATATTAAGAATCTTTTCCCTTATCTTTTTTAACAATGTAGGTCTAACTTCACTTTGTTTTTGTTTTTTTTTTCTGTTGAACCAGCTATGCTATATTACCACACTTACCTGTACAGGGTATGGAAGCACTACAGACTGCAGGTCATGAGATATGGTGAGTATCTAGAACTTTGATATTTATTCAGAGTGGCTGGATCATAAGCTTTCTTAGAAGGAGATGCTGTTATTGTTCTGTGTTTCAGTTTTTGACAGTTCACATCAGTAATAGCTTTCTGATTAAAGTTCTGGAGAAACACAGTGATTGGGTATTTGGGGGACGCACAGGAGCGTTCACACAAACACCAAGCAGATCACTGCACAGAACAATGCTGCTGCTTTCAGGCATGTTAAATATCTTACTATGAAATATGTATGCAAAACTGCAGAACTTAGTTTTCTTACTTGCATAAATATGCTCTTTTTGCTTGAGGAAGTGGAAATAAGGTGCTGATACTTTCTTCTACTCTTTTTCAGTGTTGGAATGGCAGATGTAAAAGCTCTTAAATTTATCTGTGAACAAAAAGTACTAAATTAATACCTGTGACAAATTTGCTGACAGAGCAGGAAAATTGTTTTCTATCAGTAATTACTAAATAGAGCTATAAACCATATGGGAAGAAAAATAATGGTAAAATCAGATATTCAAAATACTGGCAATTTAGTTTTATTCCAGTATCAATGTCAGCTGCAGCAGCTTTTGGTTGTAGGCACACAGTGGAGATTCACTTACACAGTTTCTATGAACCATGTTGTTTTATGTGCCCATACTGCAATTTAGGGACAAGAGCATGGAATGCAGTTGCAACATAAACTGGGTCTTGATCTACTTATATCCTCTTCTTCCTATTTTTTACAGTCTGGAACCTCCATTCCCTCTTCCACTACCAAAGTCTTGCATGCTTTCGGAAGCATTGCCCCCTATGCTTCCAGAACCTGAACTTCAGGTCCATGCCCCTGATGCAGCAGATAGTTCCACTCCAGACTGTTTTAGATCCCAAGATGACACAGAACTGAAAAAAGTGAGTTCATTTGAGATTTTAGGTATCTCAGATATCTGCTGGTGAATGTTACCTATTAAATGTTAAACGACAAGGCTTCTAGTCCTAGTCTGTGCTCTTTGTTTCTTTTTTCTTCTTTTCCTTTTTTTTTTTTAAGCAGAAATAGTGTGGAAAAAACAAAGATGAGTGGGGAAATTGGGTAACTGCCATGGTAATTACTTCCTTCATCTTAACTGCTTTTTTTTTCTTTTTTTTCTTTCTTTTTTTCCCCTAAGACTGAGCCAGAAGAGAGGCCAAAGAAAGTCTCACAGATCCGAATCAGGAAAACTGTTCCTAGGCTAGATCATAACCTTACTCCTATGGGACTACCCAAACCAAAAAGGTGAGCCATACCATTTGAATGGACCTTCTTTGGTTATTTTGTTTATTGTATAGGAGTGCTGAAGGTCTGCATTTCTTCACGTAGAGACTTGATAATTAAGTGTGAAAATTAAGTTTTAAAATCAGTCTGAAGAGAGGAAATGTTATAATCTGCTAAACTGTGTTTCTTCGCTTCCACAAAAAAAAAAAGTGACCTGTGAATGGCTTTCCCTTTCCTTTGGGCTTATCTCAAAACATCACAGTGTGCTAGAAAGAGCATTGGTCTGTGCAGGCAAGACCAGTTTTGACACAGATGTTTTTAAAATGCCACCTGAAATGAGGTACTTCAGACTCATTTATTCATTCTTCTCTATCCCCAGTTATTTTAATTGGGTGTTTTAAGCTGAAGGATAATTAGTTAGCATCGAAGCACAGAAGACAAACAGTACAAATTAGTGATTCTAATAAATCACTGTGGTGTTAGAAGACACTTTTGAAATTTTTCTTTCTTGATTTTGTTCATTACTTTTCCAGGCTTAAGAAGAAAGAATTCAGTCTAGAAGAAATCTACACAAACAAGAACTACAAGTCCCCTCCTCCAGCCAGGTTTGTTGCTTCCTAACAAGAACACCACTGAGATAAATGTGCATTACTTGGGCAGAGAGAGGGAGCAGACTGAAGAGTTCTGAAATCTAAGAGGGAGTTACATTTGAGAAACTGCTCGAGTTCAAAGCAATATGGAAAGATAGTGCAAAATCAGTATCTTACAGAATTCATACAGTAAACAGTGAAAAAGAATACAAACTAAGAATTTGCAGTTATCCAAGTATAGATGTGTATTTTTATCTATCCATTCAGTCTAGTCTCCATCCACATACTTACCTTTTCAGAATCTGAGGGCAACTGAATATTCTTTAAATCACAAGAGTAACTGTCTGTTATCAAGTATATCATGACTATCAAGACTGGTAATTTCTTCTATAAAATCAAATTTCTCTGTAATTGTGCTTTTGAACTGAAATGCAAAGAGATTCAAACCACATGTGTATGCACCAATAACATTATTTAGCTAGCAGTATAAATGTGCAGTTGCTGGAAGTGCAAACTGTAAACATACATGAGAATATATATATGAATGGGCTCTAAAAATGTAAAAAGTAGGAGTGTTTGCTTGGGTTATGAAATCATTGCTCTCCCTGTCCTTGTAAGGGGACTTCTTGAGTATTCATCAGCTCTGTCTTCTGCTTCTATCAGGAGCTTGGAAACAATCTTTGAAGAGCCCAAGGAAAAGAATGGACACTTGATTTCTGTCAGTCAGCAGAAGAGAAAGCGGATTCTGGAGTTTCAGGACTTCACTGTTCCTCGGAAGAGAAAGGCACGGGGCAAAATGAAAGCAGTGGGAAGTTTCACTCGAGCAAAAAAAGCTGCACCACAAAGTGCAGAGTTAGATGCCCTTCTGAGTCAGAAGCTAATGGACCTTGAAGAATTTTTTGCAAAGGAGGATGAGCAGTTGTTGTCTTCTAGCACTGGGGGGAGCCACGAGCTGAAAATGGTCCAGTGAGCTACTTCAGTATGAATTGTAGAGAAATCTACTGATTTCTTACCTTACTCTACCACTCTCTTGTAATATATGACGATCAAGTAATGGCTGTGACCCTCTAAGGTGCTATTTAATCTGGTTTTTTTTTTCTTTTTTTGCTACTGGAGGGATTCTCTTAGGGTCACGTGTGACTTAGCATTCCTTCCCCAACCCCTGGAAGTTATGGCTAACATTTAGTTATGTTTCAAGACCTTTTAAGGGTAGAGTGGGAGTATCAGGGAGGAAGTAGCACACCTTCCATGATGCTGGGACTCTGTACTCCAAAACCTTTGCACATTGAATCTGCTGTTACTACTGTAATGGCTTTTTGAACAATATGACATAAGAGTATGTGGTGTTTGGTAAAGATACATTTTAGCCAACATATTCTTGATAATACCACTAAATTTTTAATAATTAAAAATAGCATTCCTATCTTACTTTCAATTGTTTCTTCCTTCTGTTTATTTAGAAGGTTCCTTATGAATTTCTGTGCCCTTCCTGGCTTCAGGCAGCAGAAGCTCCACATAACTAGACTTTAATGAACTTGCACTTTGTATCCTTGTTTTATTTGCAGCATGAGGACCTCTTTTAACACAACTGAGATTACAAAACAAAAGAATAAGTAATACTTTCAGAAAAGATGATGCCCACTGCTATTTCTTCCTAAACAGTGATTTTTTTTTTACCAAATTGGCTGATACTTTATACCCCTTCTCCAGAGGCAAATCCCAGGAGTACATTAAACCACAGGGTATGCAAGTAGAGTTTTTTATTAGCTGAGCTGAACTGCTTCATCCAAGAAGCACCAGCAAATCCTTTGAGACTCATTTCAAAGCGATTTTCATTTCAGAAAATACAGTCAGCTTGATTTGAACACCCGTTTTAGGTTTGCAGTTCAGATAACTCCCAATCAGATATTCTATGTACAGCACTGTTGTATGCAACAGCTAGTGTTGTACAAAGAGCCTCCTAGCATGTGAAAAACATTTATTTTTCATTAAGTGAGGCCATTTGTCATTAGATGATGCAGCACTGGGCAATTTCTCAGCCATAACTTTAAGAGAAGAGCACTCGCTTCTGGGATAACTTCTGTTAAACTTACTTGAAGAGTAGTTCAGAATGAATGCTAGCTGCAGTACAGGTAATTTCTGTCCTTTAGTGCCTATAGAAGTTATTCATGTGAAGCTGTCTTTGTTGGGATGTTCAAATTTAACCAGTTTATTCTTTCATTTGTCTCTTAAAACTTGCACTTTCTTAGTTACCTATCCATATAACAAAGTTTATATTCACATTCAGAATAAGCAGCTATCTAGTGGGCAAGTATTTTGATTAAGTCCCAGTAAATGAAGAACTGAAAATACCATCACTGTCTTCTGCTGCTCTGCCACTTCTGTTACTGGCCTAACAGAAAACTCAGAATTAACAAGCAATCTGTTGAATTCCAGAGTTTGGAAAGTGGAGAAATGGAAGAAGAATATTACATTCTCTGTGCCTGAATCCTGACATAAATGTATTCTGGGTTTGTTCTGCTCTCAGCCTATATGCTGGGATTAATGACAGTTTACATTCTTGTTTTGGAGGCTGATTAATCAGGAAGACTCAGGAAAAGAGAGAGTACAGACTCAGAGTAGTGGTCATTTGGATTTTGAGGATAAAATAAGGTAGGTAAACTTCAAACATACTGACATGCTGTTTCAGCAGCAAGGTCTGGTTAACCTAATTGAGCTGCTGGGGAACATTTTAATTGATCTTATTTTTATAGAAATCCCTAAAAAATAAAAAAAATAAAGGTCAGCTACCTTTCAAAAAATATTTGAAACTGTCTCTATGTTGGCTTATTGCCCAAATATTGACTGGATGGAAGCTGTTGCAAGAGTGATATATATACACACATAGATATATTTTTATGGTTTTATGCTGTAGAATGGAATTGTGACACAGTGTTAATTAACCTGTTAAAATGGGAGGCTTTTACTGTTGTGACAGAACTGAGCTGTAACCTCATTGGGGCTTTGAAGACAACAGGGTGAGAGGGAGGGAGTTGGGTCCAAGCAAAGTTCGGGCTTCTGATGTGCTTCAAAATATGGAACTTTTTGTGTTGGTTCTTTTTTTATTTTTTGTCTGCTTCCTTGCTCTGTCTTGTATCTAATTAATTGCTTTGAAACAACACTTCTTTTTAATAGTTACAGCAGAGGGGGCATAAGAAAGAAAACACTTGATCCCCTTTTATTTACAATAATTGGAGGAGTAAGAAGATGATGTAGCAGTTGCCTAGGTTGTCTCAGACCTTAGGGTCTGTGAATTATTCTGATTTGGTTTAATATATGTATGATAGTTGTAAGCTAATTGAGACAAAGCATTTTTTTTTCTTCCTCCCCCCATCCTCCTCAGGAACAGATGTCAGTCATGCGTGTGCACTTTTTTCCCTCTCCCACTCCTGTCCCTATTTACAACACTCACGGAACGACCTCGTTCCTTGTGGCTGTTCTTTGTACACTGGGAGTGATGATGGTGCATAGGCAGGTAACTGCCACTCTGGGCTGCTTCTGTCTCAGGTTATTGAAGGAAAAAAGTAGAGAGAATGTTTGGGAGTCTAAGATACTTCCCTAGTGGAAGAATGTGCACAACTCTCTTTTCATAGAGCCTACTCCAGTAATTTTTTTTCTTGTAACATCATGGAAAGATATTGATAGATATGGCTCACAGAATGATGTCTAGAGCAGCTTGAGAAGAAACGCAAAGCTGTTGGCGTGCACCATCACATAGCAGTTGTTTTTCAGAGACAGGCAGCTCTTTTTACTAACTTTGCTGATTATGAGGGTTAGGTTTTTTTTTCTTAAAAACAAAATCTTATTTTCATCATGCTGCAACTGGAGCAGCTAAGACTACTTAATGTACATTAGGAAGTTTGCCTGCCTGGCCTTGTAGCTGCATACATTTGAGTTCTGATGTTTGCTGGATATGATCTTCTGCAAGCAATTCTCATTTATTGTATTTCATACAATTTGGGCCTTTGGCATATTGTGTTCCAGGTGCTTTTCTAGGATATGGATGCTAACTGTGGATTAAATGTCTATACAGTGCTGTCATGTCAACAAATAGCTCAGTGAGAATTTGTACGCCTGTGCCATTAGCCTCCATCAAGCTCTTGGCATTTTATTTGTTCAACGTTGTGTGAATTTAAAATTTTACTGTTTCTTTTGTGTGTTTTTAATTTATGGAAATAAATTTTTCCAAGACCCTTTCTGTTGTTTTTGTTTGTTTTTAAGCCTTCTTCAGGCTTGTATTAGTAAATGCACACAATACATCTGTCCTACAGCTGTGGGGAAAAAGGTCCAATCTCCAAAGAGACTGACAGCAATTAAGTGGGTGGCGTGTTAGTGAGGTATGCAGCAGCAGTTCCAGTGTTGATTTTTCTATAGCCATACTTTAAAAGGAACAGAGATGGACCTGTGCTCTATAAAGCACACTCTGAGCTACCAAACTACTCTTCATAATAGTAACATCGAGACAGCACAGACCATTCCCCCTAGGTTTGGAACCAACTATTTCAAAGCTGGAGCAGCACCACGGTTCACATCTAATGCAATCTGTGAAAGAAATCAAACCACTGCTTCTAACTCAAAGTTGAAGCATGGAAACATCAAACAGGGCTCCACAAGCTTTTGTAACAGCTGTAACAGAAAGTAATTCCCCTCACTCACAGCCCATTAAGTCATGCCTATAACCCAGGTTTCAGTGTATTACATATTCGGCAGCATTCTTGCTCTTGGCAAAGCTGTTCCTGTGATTGAAGTGCAATGTTATGCGAGTCCTGCGGGTGGCATGTAAGCTCCAGTAAAGAAAGGAAAGGAGCGCTCCAGAGACCTCGAATACACCCTGCTCTTCTTCCACTTCATCAGAGCTACAGCTTCCCGGCTGTAATGCCACACGTGAAGGTTTTGTTCTGCTACCATACTGCGACTTGTCTACATTTTATTTCTCTCCTTTCTTTCTTAAAGGTACGCGGCTTTGGATTTGCATCTGCTTTCTGCTATTTGCTTAGTTAATGACAAGCATGGGACAAATGAGTTAGAGACCAGCCTCAACTGTCATGGACTGAATCCAAAACCCTCTGTGCTGCTCAAAGTGCAATTTATTTTTTTCTCAGGAAGCAAAAAAGGGAAATGAAAAAGGCTGAGGTAAATCAAAGGAAAGGCAACCTAGGCATGGAATAAGCTGCTTAAAAACAGGTCACTGTAGCACTGTATTTTACAACTGAGTATTTTTGAGCTCTTACTGGCTAGTTTTGCTTGATTGAGGGGTTTTATTGTTTTGTGGGGTTTTTTCCTTGCGCTGGAGGGGAGATAGATTTACTTTCTCTAGTGCAGGTAGCCAGTCTTCACTTTGGCATTTCTTTTATTGCTAGCAGTGGTTAATGCAACTGTATTTATATAGCAAGACTGTGACATTTGGGTATAAGCTGGCTGTTTTGGTCTTTGTGCTGTTGTATTTATTTTAATTGAGTTCAGTTTGCCTGGTCAGGCAGCATGGGGGTAGGTCATAACACTCGTTGGAAAATGAAATGAGTAGTCATCCACACAAAGTCCTCCCCTAACAGGCAAAACAAAACTATGATATCATGCACTGTGTTGAAAAGACTTGAAATCACATTCAGACAGTTTCTGTGTGTAAAAAAAAGTTCAGTTTAATTAAAAATTTGTATTTTGACATTAGAAGTGTCAGTGTAGTTACTGTAAAGTAATGATTTGTGTTTCTGAGAAGAATGGGAGTTGCTTTATAGTAATGCCTCCTTTTTATTTCCATGGAAATAACTGCTACTAAGAGCACAATCACACTATCTGATAGAACAAATTCTCAGCTCCAAAACAGTTTTTCAACACAGTCACCACTTTTAGCTGTGTGTTTTTGTCAGCAATGAACGAGAACCTGCATGCCACACTTGTAAAAACATACACCAGTGGGGTTGACCCACTGTTGCCACTGCTGAAACACACCACCCGTCCCTCACTGTGCTCACAGCCACTGTGCAGTCTCTGTAAACATTCAGTAAGCATTGATGGATGTCAAGGGTGCCATTTTTTTCCACATGGAGGAATTCAATTATACACCTTTGCATCATATCAGACACCATTCTGTCAAGAATCCTTCTCTGCTGCCATCTGTCACACAGCAATAGGATGTAACAATAATTGTGGGAAGGTTCAGCCTCTACTGCTGTACTGCAACATCCAAACCTAACATCATGGGCCAACACAATAAAATAGAAGGCATTACTTTTGGAGCAGCCCTCATATATCCATTGCTTCCCTTCAATTTAAGGCTGCAGGAATCCAGGTCCGCTTGTTACTTCATGTCTTACAACATGAATTTGAGAGAAAAAGATTTTGATTTACCATTATAAATCCTTGATTAAAAAAAGGAAATGTATTATTGCCAGTTAAAAGCAGAAGAGACTTCTGATAGTGATTACATAAACCATCTATCATACATGTGTGTGTTCAACATGGACTGCAATTGCAATACAGGAAGATAATTCTGCAACCACCAAAAGATCAGTTGCACTTTTTGCATGGAAACAAATTCGAGAAGATAAAACAGGTAAAGCAAGGTGAACTGCTACCCACTAACCTGCGCCACTCGTGACAGTCCATTCTTTAATCCACTGCACTGACCCTGCTAGTCCCCCAAAATGCTGAATCCTCCATAGTAGGCAATCAGAACTGCTGATCCTAGTTCTGTGCTGTGGGTTATGAGGACTGGTGAAAGCTGTTGCACACAATTCCGTGCTTCAAACAAGAAAGGGATGACATAGGAGTAGTATTACATGATCATAAACATAAAGTCTACTTTCTAAAGAAAACAAAGATTATGACAAAAGAATAACCAGCATATGTGTCCAGAGGTGCCAGTTTCCTTGCAGATTGCTCTGGATAGGCAGGACTAGTCTAGTTCTTTGTTTTCAGCATTGGTGAAAGCTCATGGCTTGCAAAGCCTTTATAGCAGCTGTCAGATGGATGAGGAGGCACAGATATCCTGCTTGCAAAAGTCTAAGATGCCTACAAACCAGTAAGAGAAAACATCCTTAAAGACTCCATCAGCATTGACAGTTACAAATTCTCTAGCTACCGTTCACTAAAACTGAACAGAGGTGAAATTCCCTCTGTGAATTTCAGTTTTTTAACAACTAGTAAACTCTCAGGCATCTAAACATTGTGCAATCTGCTTTTACTTCAACACAGATTTTTAGGTCCCCTAGCAGCTCGGTCCTGACTCATAAGCAGTTTCATTTCAGTTCCAGTGAGAACTAAATATAAATTTCATATAGCTTTCAGTAGATAATGATGAGAAAGCTGTCCTATAAATACAAAGATTTTTAACTTGAGTTCTTTGCTGTAATTTTTAGTACATCCTTTTTAAAAATGGAATTTTTAACTTATTCTGAGGTTGAATATAAAAGTTTGAATATTTTCCCCAAGCCTGACGTACCCAGATCTTTGGGATAGGACAAAAACTTTGAGTGGAAATAAAATTCCACTTCAATAACTTCATATTTGCTCTGACACATATTGGTTATATCACTCCCACAGATCCCTGGTTTCAGTGCTTACAGATAGCAGTTGCAAGAGGCCTAAACATACTCCAAATGTTATACTCCATTAACAAGGTTGTGTAGAAATCCCCTCTAAAGTCAATGTAAAGCACAGGGCCATGTCTGTGCACAGAAAACTTCCTACTGCTTTGCATTTTTCTCTAACTCAGAATGAAGAATTTGACTTTACCTGCAGGTGTACAATTAAACACTGATTCTGCCAGCTGAAAGAAAGGTTCTCCAAGGATTTCCTGATAGCTCACGTGAGTTACAGGAACAAGGTACTGAGTGGCATCTTTGAAAAGCAGATCACTCTCACCATATTTTTGTGACTGGAAGAGATGGAATTCAGAATCCAGCTTGGTCTCCAGAAATTCCTAAACAGAAAAGAGGTTCCACAGTTTGGACTATAAATACCAAGGTTATGTTGGTGACCATCAGCTTCATAATAGGATCTAGCAGGAAAAAAAACGAAAAACAGATCTACTTTCATTCAGTACAGTCATACAAAAAAAGATATGACTTTGGAGTGGCTTTTTTCTCAGAAGGAGTGTGATGGCTACTGATGGCCTTTGGAGAGTTCAAATAATGATTTTTCTCAATCTCCTACACACATTCTTAATTCTGTCACATCAGATCTGAAGGCACTCTATATATTTAGTATATAAATCTCTTGATAACGAGAAGGTTTCCAGAATTGTATATAAGAAGTCTTAACATATTAACTTTTTCCCCCATTATCTACCTTACCTGAGATTTCATTAGGAAGTCATAGATTTTAGTGACAGTGACTGGTCGAGTCATGACTGTGCTGGGAGGAACTGGACCAAGGTTGCAGCCAGCCCATTCGGTGACTGCAGCACGTGTTCCATCCGGACACAAGAGTTCAAAGTCAACAGCTGTATAACCTTTTGCCCAACCAGAGCTTTCCAGATCTGAAAAGAAGATGAAGTGAAGGAAAATCCTCTTGAAAAAACAAATGCAGAAGACGAGATGAATCTCATGCAGTGAGGAAAACAGAGAGGAAGGAGCTGAGTGAATACACATGCTGTATATTCATTTATTAAGAATGCAAAAGGAATAGTTGGGTGTTTTCTCTGAGGAACCAAGTTAATGAACTGAAGCTAGTTTTTAGAAGATAGGTGCAGAGCAACATTAAAGCATACAAACAGCTTATGCCTCATCTTCACTGATCACTTCCTGAATACAAAGAAATTCATACTCCTTGTCTGTGCTTCCTCAAATAAACTGCTCACCGCTGCACGAATTCCTGTGGGTTTCCAGGTTCTTATATGCCTGCTTGATTTTACAGATATTTCTCTTTCATAAAGTTTTCTTCTGCTACTGAAATTGACCTGAGTTGAATTTCAGTGTATTTTATCAGGCTGAACAAAATGGGAGTTCCCTGTATTCTCACCTCTATGAGTAGCACATTTTGGCTCTTAGACCTGTAGAAGTAATTTAAGAGATTTGAGAGGATTTAAGCTCCTGTAACTGAAACCACTTCCACCAACAAAATCCAACAGCTATACTCTTGCAAACTTCAGTTCCCTGGAAGAAGTTACTCATTTCTCACTGTAGCAATGAAATACTTTGCAGTATTTTTACCTACTAAACTACCTACCTGGACTATTTATTCCAGAAAGTACCTATGAAACAACAAAAAGCTGTCATGGTGAAGCTATAGAACACCTCTGAGCACAAGTAGCCCACAGTGTCTCTGTTTGCTCTTTTCATTCTTTAGACTGATAGACAGTGACTACATGCTCTGTACATGCCTATGTGAGAAGGTGCAGTGGGAAAAGTCAATTTTTATAGTTTTGAGCTTTCCAAAAACTAGTGCAGTCTCCAAGGATGATTTCCCCTCCTGCTCCCAGCAAACGCATTAATCACTCAGTGATTCTCTCTCTTTCCTCTCTGAAATTGAACAGTACCTGAATTTAAAGCTTTACCATAACATCTACATGCAGGAAAGTTCCTGTACGTTTCTGGTTTCAAACACAATTTCATGGACTTAATTTAAACCTATTCCACACTGATCCTGAGCGGTGACAGTCACAGTGTGGAAAATGAGAACAGTTTACATTGTTAAATTAAAAGAAAATATCTGCATCTCACTCTCTATATTCCAGAGTAGGTTTGAGTGTTCCAGAAAAGCTACATCTCCAAAGCTTCTTCCACTGGGATTGCCAACTAAGCACCTAGTATAGGAGGAAAATAAAAAGTTACCAGAAACAGCCATTACAATGACTGAATCTTAGACAATCATTGGAAGCTAAAACAGGAGTAGCTGAAAATATCTTCATCTGAAGCTATTTGGTCATTATGTGTGGAACAAGTTAGTGATGTCAGCATGGATGTCAGTGGGCACCATTCATGCGTTTGTCAAGACAATTTCATTTATCTCTTAAAGCAGCTCCCAAGTCAAAGCTGCAGCACAGCATCCAAGTAACCCCACCTGTGCCTAGCCAGGAAAGAGAATTTAATTCAGCTAGATGAACTACAGATATTCTATGAAAGCACTATCACTGTTAATGTTCCTTTTCTACACAACCTTCAACTATTTCTTCCTTTTAAAAATATATATTATAATAATCCAGTCTAATCACTGCTTATTACAGTGCTTGTTACTACATCATCTCTACTCTCTGATCTTCTAAGTATTTTTCCATCTCTTAAATGAGTTCTGTTCCAATGCTCCACATCTTACATGTTTGGAAGCATTGTCTTGCTCCATAGAAGGTTACATGAAACTCTCCAACCATCTGAACAAATCATAGCAACTGCAGCCTAAGCAAAATACATGCTACCAAAAGTTAATACAGCCAGTTGCTTAACAAAAAAGCTTCCATAGAAAACCATCAGTAAAATAATAAGCCAATCCTGGCTATTGCTCCATGTTTCTGACTCTGGAAAGAAGTATTACCTGAGTGCTCCCATATTGCCATAGTAGTGCTCATTGTGACTGGCAGCACATCTGCTGGATACTCGAGCTCCTTCCACCTCACTGTCTCCAATGCACACTTTGCACAGGTTTCCATCTGCTCCTGGCATGCAGCCCTTCCAAAAGTAATTCTGGTAAACTGAGCAAAAAAAAAAAAAAAAAGCAACTCAGGTGAAATTGCAGCAAAGTCTCTTCTTCTGTTGGAAGAACTGGATTCCATCCTAATAACTGATGGAAAGAAGCCTAAATGGCATGAAGAATCACACATACTCAGATAAGAGGAATAATTGTTTCAACAACCTTTGAGACTGCACTTGCTGGCCATGCGACTAATCAACTCTTTCTTGGGTGAAGTAAAATGGCAAAATGATAGAACTAAGCAACTCAAGAAAGTAAACCAAGCTGTAGTGTAAGAGTAGATCATGTTAACTATGTAGTTAACTATGTAGATCATACAGCAGCTGGCAACATCTCTATTCATACCTAATCTTGAAAGTATTAACAATTGGAACAGCACTTTTTCTCGCCTATAACATGAAAGATAGAAGCAGGAGATCATCATCCTCCAGGTTTTGGAGTAGCCACACAGATAAACTAAATTGAGCACAAGCACAGCACAGAAGGATCAAGAGGCAAGACAGTGGGTGAAAAGAACAAGGGGAGGAAGAGTTTCTATTACATCTGTACTTGGTCTTCCTAAAATATTTTGAGATAAACCTAGCCCATAACTTTTTACACCCAGAACGTGAACAAATGCATTTCAGCTAATCAATTAGACAACTTAATCAAGAAAGAGATAGAGAAATTGACTGACTTTTAAAGTACAAAACACAGAATCATACACATTGAGCTCTAGGAGTGGATACTTGTGTCTTTTGATCATCCTTTCTTTTGCATGTAGGCACAGATACCACTATTATTTATCGTGCATCTGCTTGCTAAGGAACATCATATGCAGTACAGGAGAAATCCACTACTGAAAAGAGAGCTCTATACAGGAGCACATCATAGCAAATAAGAACATCTTCAATGATATGCAAGACTGAAATTCTTTCACTCTGCCCTCACAGATTCTTTTCAATCTTACTTCCTAAAGTAAGATTCCTTCTAAAGCCTAAACATTGTGCTTTAGACTTCAAGAGTCTCCTCACAGATAACCCAGAGCGACTCATACCAGATCCGATATCACAGTTTTCAGTAACGTTTTCCAGAGGTCCCACTGTGTATCTGGAAAGAAGCAACCATCCTCCAGGACTATACAAGTGGCTGTGACATGATCGCCTCCCCCGCAGGTTATGGATGTTAATCTGTTTGGCATTTTTCTTAGCTAGGGCTACAGCATAAACAGGTGACAGTCCTACAAAACAATGACAGCAACCAGTTGTATAAAGGCAATGAAGTATTCCACATAGGCAGAGCCTATACATCCCAACAGAAATCTTAAGAGGCACTCTCAGGAAAGTTGAAATATTTTGCCTTTCCAAAGTTCTCCCATTACCTTTGCGCTTTAGATGAAGTTTGCTAATTTCCTCTGTGCTCTCATCAGCTGGAGCACAAACCTGCCCTGGAGAGAGAAGACAACCATTAAGGATCTTGCAACTGCTGTCATTCTCATCGCATGGCAGCACTGCATAAAAAAAAACAAAACAAAACTTTATAACCTTGCAATCCCCTCTTGAACCATGTCAGTATCTCCACCCCTTATATAGAAGAGATACAATACACAAACAGATCAAAAGCTACAGCCAGTTAATGGAAGAGCTGAGAAGGGTGCCTGGATATATGTATGGATCCCTGCTTCCATAACAAAACATCACAACGTGTCAACATTTAACTATATTTGTATGGTGCACACAAGAACTTACCATAACACTCTGCAGCTACAGGCACCAATCCACACCTCCCTGCAATGTAGACGTGGGTTGCATCCAGAGTGACTGCATCAGCCTCACTACTCTGTCAACAGCATTACAGAAAATAACACAAATAGGAATTGCATTAATTGTATAACCAAGCAGCTGTACTTCTCCACTGGTTGGAAATTCCCCTGCATAAATTGCCTGTCACTCCCACTGCTCCCTCTAGTGTAGAAGTGTTTTTCCACTTGTCCTTGCCTAAGCTGAACATGCACTCTGTGCAGATTATCATATAATCTGCATATAATCAGAGGGACTCTCCTACCTTGATCATTTCAATGCAGCTTGCCATGGAAGTTGCTTGGACACAGACTAATGGGTCAGATTTGATGCTCAGTGCCCACTCCTCACATTTGCGAAGCTCAGCATTGCTGATGCAGCACCAGCGCACAACACTGTTGTCCAAGGAGCTCCCTGCATTAGAAAGAAGGAACACAGTGGAACCACGTCAATCATACAACAATCTGTTGGGTCTGGCAGGGAGGAATAGCATAGGACATCTACAGTCCTCCAGAAGCTTCTTACCTTCATGACCTAGTCCCTTAAGGAGAGCTACATAATCCAGACCAAGGACATATGCAATTTCTAGCTGTTCCTCGAGAAGTTGCAGGTGCTGAGTGGCATCTCGAAAGAGAAGGTTCTTCCCTCCAAAGGGTGATGAATTGAAAAGTTCAAATCTGGCTCTTTCCTTTCCTTTTCGACCAAAGAGACGCTAGGACAAAAGCAACAATTTTAATTGCAAAAATTTGTCTCATCCTTTTAGTGTCAGGCAGCCTCACCCCCTTCACCCATCATAGCAATGGCCTGTAACATAGTGTTCAGGGTTCCAGTATCCACCACACTGTGACAAAGCCCATAGGTACCACAGTGACTGGATGGTTACAGTCCTACAAACATATTGCTTGAGATTCAGTTTCCTTTTTTGAAGAATTTTATCTCTCATCTTAGTTATCCAAATTCATTGGGCTGTGCTCGATGCCTCCTGCCCTATAAGGGCAACTAAAGTAGTTTGGCCAAATGGGAAACGTTTGTGACAGATAACTGCAGTAAATGGGTACAGGATGTCTTGTGCTTTACAATGGGAAGTACTGTGTGCAAAGGAGAGCTGTCTAGCTTGATGGAAGAATAGCATGCACTGAAGAATGTACTGGGAATACTACTTCATAGCCACTGTTATGTATAGGGAACATAGCTAATGAGGGTGCCAATAAGCACACTGACAAGGACATGTGAAAAACCTCTCACAGAAGGGATTTTGTACTTCTACTGTCTGTCCAAGTTCACAAGATAGCACAACTCACTGGGTTGGAATTATTCATTTTGCTGTATTATTTTAAATGTGGAGTGGCTTCTTAACATCTTTAAGTAATACACATTTCAAGTTCAGGTCCACATAAATTCCTGGATATCAACGTAACAGATGCTATAAATTGTTTCCCTCACCCTCTTAAAGCTGAATCTTGCCTGAACCCATGTGCCTCTTATCATATAAGCTTTAGAGCAGAATGGAAATAACCATCTATTTTCCAATTTGGGTGTTCTGACGTCTTCCTCTTCCTAACTTATTTCCACTCTTCTCTCCGAGTTGTTCTTCTGTAGAAGTAAAATTTTCCTTCAGAAACTAGCACAGGACCTTTCCCCAGAACAATTCATGTTGAACATTTGCTTCAGAATAACTACAAATTTATTGAGAAAAGAAGGCAAACTGAGTGGTGAGCTCCACACAAATACAGAAGAAAATCCTGTGTACAGAGATATACAGCTTACAATATCCACTCACTTGGATCATGGTAAGAAATTTGTTGGTGATCTTTTGGAAGTTGTGGCGGGTGATGATGCCACGGCCAGGCCCCTTGCCCAAGTTACAGGTGTTGTACTTGCTCAGCTCAGCTGTAGTTCCATCAGGACATAAGAGTTCATATTCTTGTTGTTCTGACTCTAAAATAACAGGACATTCACGAAACACTGAAAATTTAAAGGAATCTTAATAGTCAGGAAATCAGCTGGCAGCTGCAGAGACTTTAGCCTAAAGAAATCACCTGCATTAAAATGCCTGTCTGCTCCCATCCTACCAACCTCCTTTTCTGCTTTCCTCTTACTTGTGTGGAGAGCCAAGAAATACCACTGAACTGCTTACAGTGACTGACAATAAACATACAAACACATCTCCCAAACTCCCATGCAGGAAATAGCACAAAGGTTAAAAGGAATCAGTTTTTAGGACTACCTGTGGCTCTCATAACTGTCAGGTGATCTAAAAAGGCAACATCTGCAACTCCATCCTTCAAGCACCTGCAGGAAGACAAATGCCATCCATTAACATGTCATCAGCTTTTTCTCTCCTCACTTTTTCCCCAAAGGTGAATTCAGCATAAGTTCAAAACAGCCAGTTTACCTGAAAGCTCCATCAGAGTCATAGAAGGGTTCATTGCTGCTGGTCTCACAGAAGTGGTTCTTGTCTCTGATATATGACTTTTGTCCTTGGCAGAGAGCACACAGCTGAGGAGCAGCAACACCAACTCCAGGGATGCAACTTGCATTGAAATACTCACTGATTACTGCAGGGGAAAAAAAGAGGGGAAAGTCAAATACAAAAAGATGGAAGAAAGAGGCCAAACATACTATGACTGTAAGTAAGGCAATATGCTGCTTTAGAAAAAAGTTGCTCTTTGGCAAATAAATGCAGCTTCACTGTCTAAATTGCAAATTTGAAATGTTTGTTGCAAACAGAGTGATCTGATTTTTCTTGTTCAAAACCATCTTTGTGCTGGCTTGATATTGCGAAGTCTTGTTCCCTACTGTATACAAAACACCAAGATTCTCCTGTTTTGGTAATACTTCTGCCCCTGTTTCACTCACTCTTGCTGAGGGCAGACAAGCTACAGTTGCTATCACACACCTTGGCTCAGGGGTTGTCCCTCATCCCAGGAAAGATCATTCCTTGCAAGGAGAAATCCAAGTGGAATATTCCAGCCTGAGGTCCATCTGGCTCCATTGTGGCAGCTGCGCACACCGCGTAGCCTCTGGATATCCAAAGTTCCTCGTTTGGCAACAGCCACAGCAAAAACACAATTTCCTGTGATAGGACAAAATATGCAACAGAAATAACTAAAGCCCAACTCCCCAGCTTCTGTCTGTGCACCAGGTTCAATTCCCCTCTAAATGTTGCAAAGAAAAAAAAAATTAGGCACGTTAAATTGAAGAATTCATACCAGGAATTTCACACTATACTGACTACATAGTGAAAGTGAGCACCATGAAAGGGCAAGGCTGCTTCTCAGGAATTTTGAACATTTGTATCAAAGAGATTGAGGTATCATAACAGAAAGAACTCCTGTTTTATCCTCAAAACCTAGGGATCAGGTGACAGAAATGTATTGATTCCACTAGGACTGCATGGTTTTTCAGTCAAAACAAAACTCACTTGTGCTCTCGCAATGTCCTCTGATTAGTCTCTTCCTACATCCACCTGCTAATTTGGCTTCCTTCTCAGAGTCATGCCCCCTAGGTATTTTCTACAATATACTTGGCTTTCTCTTGCAAATCAGTCAATGCACAGACTGCTCAGCTAAAGAATCTTACCGTAACATTCATCATCTTATATACTTCTCTTTCTGTGAAGAACAGAGAACGAATTAACAACAGAAACTGATCTCTTAAAGAACAATTAATAAACAGTCGTACTAATAAGGAATATGGTATAAGAATTAACACAGATGGGATAAAACATTCCTCATTCCCTATGCAATGTGGAACCCCAGTGTATCAGTGCTGTGGGCAGGGGTGGATACAGTTTATTGTGATGAGAGCACCATAGGCTGGAAAGAAAAAGCACCACTGGAATTTTATTCATCACTACATGTTCTACACATACTAATGTGAAGTATATGTTGTTAGTCATCCCCATATTCCCACAAAGTACTTAAGAATCAACAGACCTTTTTTCCCCCCAACTTTAAGAGACTTTGCCTGCACAGCAATTTACCAGGCAAATCAGAAGCACAGTTCATTCTTCTTTATGTACGTACCCTGTTCATAGATCTCCTTTGCCACAACGGTCAAACCATACAGCTTTACAGCAGAGTAAACATCTCCTGCATCCAGAGAAGCAGCATCTGCTTTATTCACCTTAAAAAAAAACACCAAACACCACAACAGCAAAACCCTCAAAATAAGTTTGTTTAAATGGAAACAGAGCAGTTCGTCAGGCTGAAACTCTGCACTTGAAGTGAGCAGAGACTTTTACAAGCATTTGCTTTGTTTTTAACTGAATCTCTGCTATTAATTACTAACACTTCACCAGGATTAAGGCTGTTACTTTCAAATAAGTATCTGTGCTTTATCAGTGACATTGATTCCTGCCTCTTCTTTGGTCTTTCCATTCCAAAAATACAATTCCAATGCCACCTGAATAAAAAGGCTTCTTTTTCCTCCTACTATTCCATCAGAACCCCAGAACCTTCTCAGATTTCTCCTGGTTATAATAACCACCTAAAAATGGAACTAAGTCTATTAACAAGCCTATTCTATTTATCATGAAAACATGAACTAAATAATTCCTTTAACAAACAAGAAAGTCCTTCTTGGTTTTGCTTGTTAATCCTACAAATGGCCTCATGCATAATTTTATTAAAATTGAAGATCTTCACATGGAAAAAAAACTTTCACCCTTTACTCCAGGGACGATCAACAAGGAGTTAGAAACAAGGGGGAAAAGTGGGAAGAGAAAAATATTAATTCCAGTCAGAGTAGGATTGAAATTTACAAGGAAGGAAAAACGCTCTGACCTGGCTTTAATTTATTAGTTTGGATTTGTCCATTTATTTTCATGCAATTTTATATTTATTTCTTGGAAAACGCAAGCTGGGGTAAAATAGTTCTTCTACTATGGTTAGTAGAAGGCTCACGTATTTGAATTCTTATCTCTCAAGCCACCTTGTACAAGGCCTGTTCTGAAAGCAATGCCTCCTATTTCATTATGTTGGCAGGATGGCAGTAGAAGTGACTGATAGCAGCAGAGGGGCAGTGTGACAAAATGGTGCCTGACATAGAAGTGTGTACGAGGCAAAGGTGTATAACTGAATTAACTGACTCTTGCTGAACACTTATGGAGACCAAACAGTGGATGTGGGCACAGTGAGGCAGTGGGTGGTGCGTTCTGACAGTGGCAATGGTGATGTGAAAGACAAGCCTCATTCAGATGCCCATAGAGATTTTTGCAAGAGTGGTATGCAGGCTCTTGTTCACTGCTAGCAAAAATGCATAGCTGATGGTGGTGACTATGCTGAAAAATAGAGCTTTGTAGCAGAGAATTTGCTTTGTCAAGTAGTGTTATAGTGCTCTTTTTATCTGCTCTAGTTTCTGTGGAAACAAGTAGGAGGCATTATTTCTGAAACATCCAACGTACGTTCTCCTACGTGAGATACCATCCTGTCAATAGCATTTCATTCTCCATGAGTTGATAGCCAGTTTCTACTTCAAAAGAGAATTTGGTTCAAATTAAGTTAGTTTTAAAAATCTTTGTGAACTTACTCTGATTTTATCAATGCAGTCATACGTATTGTGGGCTCTGATGCAAGAAATCCTGGCAAACGAATCGGTGTTAGTGACAGGCAGCACAGCTGTCAGTGCTTTGGACAGCTCAGCACACTTTCTCTGTTCTAGATCAGAGAGGGTGCACCATCGAAACTTTTTCCCTGTGGGATTAAAAAAAAAGTCAAGAACTATAGGACTTAGCAAACCCAAACTCAGTTTAAGGCCCCATGGATGGAAGAGGTTGTTTTGTTTTAATTAGCTCCATAAATAAGACTCTGCTCACACAGACATCCGCACACATGAAGGCACAGGAGAGATGCACCCAAGCACTTTGGCTCCACGCACAAGAGAGCAAACATCTGCCATTAAGTCTCTATGCTTCCTCTTGACTGGCAGCAACAAACTAGTTTTCAGACAGATTTGTCAAGATTCAACAATTATTATGGCATGATCTTTTCCTGGGCACCTGAGAGTAAACACAGGGGCTCCTCAGTGTGCTCCAGGGCACCCCAGAGGCTTCCCAGTGTGCCCTACAAATCTCCCAGGGTCCCCCAGAGCACCCTTGGGTGCCCGAGATCACCTGCAATGATGCTTCTCAGACTATCCAAGAAGCTCCCCAGCGTGGCCTAGATGCTTTGCAGGGTCCACCAGTGTACTTTGAGGCACCCAAGAGTACACATAAAGCTCCTCAATTAGCCACAGTGCACCTAAGAAGCCTCCCAGCATTTTCTCAAGTGCCTGACAGCTATCTTCCAGATACGCACTATGAGAGAGAGAAAGTGAGGACATTCTGTTATTGAAAAGCAATAATCACGTACTATGCTGAACAGTGTATCAGAAGAACATTATCAACAAGATCATCACATCAAGAACTCAAATAAAAATTACCTTCATTTCTGAGTGAGCTCACAGAACCTGCACAGGATCGCTCTATAAATTTGTAGCACAACTGAACTACTTAGTTGTCAGCTCTTTCCCCAAATGAAAACTAATTAACCAATTTAAAAAAGCAACCAACAACTAGTTGCTAGGAACTCACGCAGCAGAAAGAACGAGTTAGCAAGATACAATTAGAAGTGGAGGTGAAGGTGATACCTCCCTTTCCAGGGGAAGCTGGGGGTATGGTTTGTGTATACTGTATACTGACTGTAAGCCTACAACCAAAGGGGACATAGATTTGCCAACAACATTTCCTCTTTTGCTTCATACTCTGTAATTATCCATTTTGGATCTATTCAGATTTATTTTATATTCTTCTCATCAACTGCCCTCTACTATAAAATATATTCATATGCATTTCAAGAAGATACGATGCATTTCAGGAGAGAAAAAAGTGGATCTCATACATGAAAGCAGTCTGCAGTTATACAACTTGACAGAATCCTGTACTGAATAGAAAGAAGAGACTGCAATGGCTTGAATACTGTCATCTTCAGAACACCACTTGGTTTTCTATCAACCACTTAATATTAAACAAAAAACGCCTGGAATAACAAAGTTGAATACTAGAATACTGAAGCTTTTATTCCTTGGAGCACGATGTCAGACATTAGCACTCTGAATGCTTTGATGGTAATTCAGAGCGATTCCAAAAAGAAACCCATTGTAGTTTCTGAGAGGAGCAGCTTAAAATATACTGATTCATTTTGACAGCACTAATGAGTGTGTGGACACCAGCTACTCAAAGGAAACCTTCACAGAACTGTGGAGCAACTAGCTGCCTTCAGACCAGCAGGGTCACCATCTGCCCACGATCAAACTGAAAGAAATACCATCTTAATGGAAATCACAGGCACAGTTCTGGCTGCAGATTCTATATGCAGAAGAAAACAAAACCACAGCACATATTAGAGTTTGTATCCTGGTAATTCATCCAGAGCTCACCTTTCTCTTTCCCCTCTCTGCATCAAACTTACCTGAACACAGCAAAGTGAAGATGATTAGGACAATTATAAGAACTGCCTTCATGATTACAGTTGTTCAGCAAGGATCCACTCTCTACTCTGACGCTCTGCATTCTCATACCAGGAATTCCACAGTGATGAACAAACTTTCTGGAAGATAGAAAAGAGGGTTTGGGCATCAACAAAGATAAAATGAGATCTGCAGTAAATAAACATAAGCTCTGTCAGATACTGCATCTTCGCACATAGACAAGAAAGGAACAGTGACCTATTTAGTGCCCACAGCTGGAAAATATCAGTGCATTTTTATCAGTGCATGAACTCACATACAAACAAATGAAAACCTCTGTTTTTGAAGTAGGTTTTTTTTCCTTTCTTTTTTTTTTTTTTTTTGGCATGGTAAGAGAGTTTATTTACTGCATGATGTTAAACAAAAAGTAACCCTATGCCCACCTAAGAATTTAGAACAGAATCCTGACTTTGTCAGCTTTCCTGATTCTTTTCATTCCATTCTAGCGCAACAGTCTCATTCCAAACTGGTTTGTTTCCCTGTTCCCTAACATTTAGCCTAGAGAAGTATTGCCTCTTAATTACTCTAAAGCAGCTATGACTCACATCATTAGCTTGCTCCCTCTCTCTATATAAAGAGAGGAGCTAATATGTATGTGTATATATTTAAGCATAACTGTATAAATGGAACTGCTGCAAAAAAAAAACCCAACGCATAAATATATATGTATTGCTAATACGCACTGATCTTTTCAGGAGAGACTTGATCAACCTGAGTCCTGGAGAAAGAAAGTATTTTTCCCAGTTTTGTTTTCCTCCTAGCACTTCCTCTGCTTCGCGCACTTTGACAACACTTCTCCCACATTTCTGTTCCTGTGCTGTATACCTTATCCGAGCAATTCACAGACCTTATTCCCCATTTCCTTCTTTTGGTTTGTGCACACAGACTCCACTGCTCACCTTTGCTGTTTCCTAGGTTTCTTCACAAAATCTGCAGCATTTATTGATATGTTATCTTATTTCCCATTAGTCTGAGCACAGAAGGAGTTCACCTCTCTCACTCATTCCTATGCTTCCTGGACATTCTCAAGTCCAAAGTCCTACATTCTCTCATTTAATAAGAGAACTATAGATATCCCCATCCATTTCAGAGGAGTTGGATTAGAAGACCTGTAAGACCCCCCTTCCAACACAAATGATTCTATGTATCACGGTGTTATCCCACCCTTCGACTTGGCTCACCCACGTAGTTCTAGCTCAGCTCAGAACACTTTGGGAACTGTGCCCCATTCCCCACTGAGTGCATGCAGTCTCTTAGCACAACACATTGCAACATAAGAAAAAAATAATCACATTACAACAAATTAGAATAAACTAATTCTTTTGAAATAGTTCTAAGACAATAGGTAAATTTATACTTCCAATGCCAGGAAAAAAAAACTTACATCAGGCCAGATCACTAATCGGTTAAGTCCACACCAATTAAAACATGCTATAAACAAGTGTGCCTTATTTACAGCTTAACCTTGAGTCACTCCTGACTCAGATGTGGGGCAGCCTGTGGGTCAGGCCCTGCTGCAGTGCGCCGTCAGACATCAAAGCCGCAGCCTTTGCCGCGCTGGGGGCAGCGCACCTGGTGCCATCAAATCCCACCTCTGCAGCTGTGCTTCCTGCTGGCCCTACCTCACGTTAACTGAGGAAAATGTGCATCCTGACAGCTGAGTCAGCTCATGTTATTACGTTACGTGAGAGCTACAGCTGGATCTCTGCTGAAATTCCATGTTATTAACAGACTTTCCTACTTATGCCTAAGGTAGAAGACGCTTAATCAGCTACTTAGAGATACTGCTGCTGCGATGTGAAAATAGCAACATTCTGCAGACTCCACGGAGTCCTGGCTGGGAAAACGGACAGCCAAGCATTAATCACAAACACAGCAGGTCATGAGAGCATCTCGGCCTGGAGCAGAGGTGAGGACACTTGAGGAATGCTTTCATAGTGATTCACCTCTGAAACCTCCCCAGCACTCAGGAAACAGCAATTAGCCGCTGGCTGCTAACGCGGTAGCCCTGCATCCAACTGCGGACACACGTAGGAGGGTGGAACCCACCTTATCTCCACCTCATCTTTACAAAAGCCCCCCTGTGGTGTTACCACACAGGAGCAGCCGACACCACGCGGTCTAAGCTCAACATCTCGCTCAAGGTGAGCAGCGCTGCCCCCTCCTCAGTAAACTGCTCTCCTAACACTCACAACGCTTCCACACCACGTTCCAGCACTCGCTCACCCCACAGCACCCCTTACAGCCCGTCAGGAACAGCCTCAGCCCCCAACTCACCCGCCCCGCCCCCTCCGGCCCCGCCCCGTCCCTCAGCCCGCCCTCGCTCTCGGCACGCAGCGCAGCTCGCGGCGCCGCAGCAGCAGTAGCAAGATGGCGGCGGCCGTGGCGCGAGGAGGCGGTGCTGCAGTGCGGCGGAGCAGGTACGGTCAGGGCGGGACGGCACTGCGCTGCTCCGTGCTGACGGGCCGGGGCCGAAGTGAGAGCCAGAGACGGAGCTGAGGGCGGAGTGGCAGCCGCTGACAGCCGGGAGGGATGAGCCCTGAGCCGGGGTCGGCCGCTTCCCGGCGCCGGGCGCGTTGCTTATTGCCTTGCTGTGTAAAACGTGCAGCAGTGCGGGGCTTTTTACCTGGTGAGGACTCGGTTGTTGGAAACTGTGCTTTGGGGAAGGCCTGTCCTGCTGCGTTTGGGTCAGCACTGTGGTTTTACGCTCTACCTGTCAGCTTCTTAATATTCGTGATGCTGTTTTACGAGGATAAGTGAAAACTGTAGCTAATTATCTTTAACTAGCAGTAAAACATTGCTTGTGAGTGCCTGCTGCTATTGCTGTGTGGTTTCTGGACGAGAAACCTATTCATAGACTCCTTATTTTCTAAATAAAGAGTCTACTTGAAACCTGTGAGATAGCTGAAATTCATTCTTAAAAATATGAAAGAATGCTAATCGCTTCCTGGAACTGAATCACCCGAATGATGCAGAAAGCTGTAAGTTAATGAAGTAATTCTGCTCTTAGCCTGCATCTGATGGGAGCAGGTGAAAGGTCACAGTGCCAAATGAAGACATCCCAGCTGTCATGTTTACATCCTGGGAACAAGACCTGGCACTCGTTACTTTCCCAGCAGTTGGCCTAAGAAATGGCAGAACTTGTTTGCAGATCCCATAACTTTTCTATGTTTGCCTGTCAGCGTGCTGAGAAAGGCAGATTTGAGAACCCGGTTTGTGGGTGTGTCTTAAAAGAGCTGTGGCTCTTAAATGGCACCTGCATGTGTGGCAGCGTCCTGGAGGTGGAATAATGCCAGGTCATTTTGTAATGATCTCATTACAAAGCTTTACCACGTTTATAAGCAGAGTTTGTTTTGATCAGCATGGCTGGATGCCACTTTGTAATAAGCACTACCTTTGGGTGGATGTAAATACCTATTAGCCGTGTTGTTGCAGAAGATAACGTCGATATTTATGCTGCTTACCATTCCTCCAAATTATAGGAATTCTGCTTTAGACCTTCTTATAATTTCCCCAGTAAAATACAAGTTGTTTATTGGTCTTGGAGTAGTTGTTTATGTGCTGTTGGATCAAATTCAGCATATTAAACTGGAAACGGATCTCGAGAGGAGTAACTCACTGGCTTTAGTCACTTCTTTGAAATACAACAAGCAGATTGTTGGTCTTGTAGACCAGGGTAGTGCATAAAATCAAAGATTACATTGGATACCACTGACTTGCTCTTTTAAAGGCTCAGGTTGTATTCACAGTAACCGATACATTACAACTCCAAACAGCCCGAGATAGGGTATGTGACATTAGCAAGCACTATACTCATACTTATTATTATTATTATTATTAAAAGCGAACTAGACACATCATTAAACGATGAGGTATCTGCAGGAGCAGTTGGATTTTTTGTTTTGTTGGAAGAGGAGGAGGTAGACCTGAAGAAAATGGATTTTAATGCTTTACTTTATGAATCTCAGTACTTTGAGGGGAATTTTCCCCTCTGTGTTGTTCAGCCTCTGAATGTTCTGTTTACATTTGCACTGTAAAACATTTGTACTTGAGCCACTGTCTGTTGTATGTTGCATTTACAGTTTCCTGACTGGCTGCAACTTCCTCATATGTGAGAACCCGTGCATTAGAACTCCAGTCCTGTGGAAGCAGCCACCTTCCAGGACGTTTTTCAGTGGTAAGTGTATCTTGTATGTAATCCAATGTTTATAAATTCAGGATTACTCAAAATTAGTCAAATTATGATTGAATAGTGGTGAATATAAAGTTCTTGATATTGAAGCAAGTGAACTTGGAGTCCAGATTCAGTGACCTGCTCAATTTATGGAATTTCTGTAGACATCAGCTTGCAAATAGTGATTTTAAACTTCTGGTGTTTTGCTGGCAGTAAAATAAGCATATTTATGTATTTCACAAGATTGTTTTATTGGATTATTCATTGTTTTTCCGTTTTTTTTTTAATGCTTAGATAGCAAACTTAAAAGCAAATGATTTATATATATGCATATATATAGTTATAATATTTATATATATGTAGTTACAATAGGGGCATTTTAGACAAATAATCTCTAGCCGTGGTTGAAAGCTACTTCTTCCTTCTACAAGTGCCATCTATTCCACAGTGATTTTATGGATATGAAGAGCCTTGCAGAGAAGCAAATCTGGGCAGCAGTTTAGATGCTGTAATATCCAGAGCAGTGCTTGGCTAAAACTGGAATTTGGATCATTGTCTCAAATTAGGAATACCTGTGTTAGAGCATGACAGAATACAAATTGCATGCTTGTTTTTGTTTTTTTTTCCCCCCCTTGATATTTGTTCACCCTTATACTTCATCATTCTTGTGTGTTTTTTATCAGAAAAACTGGCTTCCTCTGTCGTTGTGACATCTGCTGCCCTGTGGTCCCTTTTAATACGTCTCATTTGAGGGTGGTTTTTTTTTAAGCTTCTTTGATGCTTTAACACTCCTCCTGTACACTGCAATTATCACTTCTGAAGAAACCTGTCTGACAGGGCCAGCAGAAGAAGAGCCAAGATGATAAAGTGAATGGTGGCTACATTCCTAATTTCTCCCTTGTATTTTTTCATAAGGGAAATTTATACTGATATTTTACTGAAATTTATACGGATATTTTTCCAGATCTGTTTTATTTAAAATGAGGGAATTCACGTTTCCTTATACTCCCTCGCCTCAATGACTGGAGAATATTTTGTAAACCAGATGTAATCAGACTGTGATCAGAGTGCTTGGAGTGATGCTAGAGGAAGAAGCTCTATGTGGAAGGACATATATGATGGAATGTATTTGTTTTTGAATTGTTTCTAGACTTTAACAGTTTTTGCAGTGATGATGATCTCTGTAGCAGAATAAAGGCAATTTACCACAGGTTCCTTTTCTGTAATTACCTTTCTTAGATTGTGTGGCTTTCTGAGGGCTCTCCAGATGAAAAATTACTTCTCTAGAGGCAATACAATTTAGCAGAGTTTCATTTTAGTACAGTGTTTTAAATATCCTTTCTAAAAAAACTTTAGAAATAGAAACAACTTCAATGAAATGACTGTATTGAGACAATATTTCATGTTCTTTGCACACCTATGTTGTGTCAGTCCCTCTCTCTTATACACATTTTAGCATACTTTAATGGCTTACCATGCCCTGCAACATCTCATGCTCTCAGCATTTCTAGCACAGTGTGCAGCCAGGTGCCAGCCAGGAAAACTGAGCCTGTATTTTGCAGGTGGGTGTCACAAAGGGGAGATGTGAAGGCATCATGGATGTTGGCTGAGAGGTCTTTGTAACAGCAGAGTCATGAAGTGAGCCTGATGACAAAAATGATATCTGTTATTAACATGAAATTCAGAGGAATCATGTTAGACTGCGTAATGACTGACTTAAAAGGAGGCATCAAGCTTAGTCTCTAATGGATAGTAGGAAGGAAACAGGACATACCAGGTGGGAATTTGTTGGAAGCTGTTCAGCTGTGTTATCTGCTTTGGAGTGTAACTGTCATGCACTTGGGGACAGCTGAGAAGGTCAGAATCCAGCAGTTTAGCAGGCCTGTAAGAAAGAAGAGGTCTAAATATAGTTTTAAATTCCTATCTGTACTTATAATTTTAATAAATTGTGAAATTGAGGTAGGATAATGTGAAATATTTAAGGCCTGCTAAAACGATGCTTGTGCTCTAGCTGGACAGGGCTGTGAAGAGCCAATATTGTGTGTTGTTTTTTTCTTTACCAAGTATTTGTAAGCTTGTAGTCCATGTGTTGACCTGTTGCTAAAACAATTCCATGGTCTTACACGTATTTTTTCCTTGTCAACTGAGGTGGCAATTGCTCCCATTTTGTAACAGCACTTATCTGGGTTAATTTCCTTGTCCAAATCCTTTGTCTCTTGTCATGTATGAATAGTTTCTTATTGAAATATATGCTTTTATCCATTCCAGAGAAGGGAACTTACTTCTTCTATTCTGGTTTGCTGAAAGTAGTTGATGATGAGGAGAAATCTCAGGTTAGCTTTACCTCGAAGGAGTTCAGGCTTAGGATTAATCCAGAGCATGGAAACGTGCATTTAAAGTCCCCTGTCCTGGACTGGTTTCTACTGGTTCATCTTCTGGAACAGGAGCTTTCCTCCTGCTCCTGCTGCTCACCAGATAGCTGTGCCAGTGTTTGTACCGTTGGAGAACATGATGTTCAGCTGAAACCTCTGAACAGCATCAGCTGCCTGACCGTGGTGTTGTTGCCAGGGTCAGAACATGAACTTTGTTTTTGGAATCTGTAAACTTGTGTGAATTTCATTTATGGCTGAAAGATGTGGAGTTGTATTTTGATTGTTTTGTCAGCAAATGAACTCTAGCACAGGAAGAAAAATGTTTGCAGAGGTCTATCAGTAGTTCTTGTGCTGGAAACAGTCTCTGGATAAAACCTGTACAGAAACCAGAAAAAGCTGTTCCCACTGAGGGCTTTCTGGTATTTACTGGCTCTGGTGAAGTAACTGAGCAGCTTTGTCAACTTAGAACCAAAGATGTGGTGGGAAGGCAGTTAAAGGCTTTAGGGCTAACAAGTGCTGTTGGTCTCTACAGACATTTCTGTTGAAATAGTGATGCAGCTGTCTAGGCAGACCAAAGTTGAAAGGTTATAGAGTCTTTGTAGACTTAAAGTAAGTAAAATCCTTTTTCATAAAC